GGTGCCTACACCATACACAATTAACCAGTCAGCTTTCTATACGAAGAATCACCTAAATATCTCAGAATTGGCAGGATCCTCTAAGAGAGTATTTCCATTAGTTTGGGAACAAAACCTCCCCTTTGAGTGACCTGAGACTGACTAATCTGACTAATCCAAACACCCGTAATTGGCCACAGCCCTTGCCCTTCAGGAAACCCAGCTGGGGACAATGACAAAGACTGGAACTGACTCAGGGAGGAAGTTCAAATTGCTTGCCAGTGGGAGTCCCAGAAATCCATAAACCAGATCTTGAGAAAATTGAATGCCTAGAAGTGCTATCCTTGCAAGATTTTGTAAGGGAAGATGCAGTGGGGTGAACTGAGGCCCTGTTCAGTACTAGTAGGTATCTACTGTCCTAGCTACAGGGCTTTTGTTTTGCTTGGTGAAAGATTCCAGCTGGGGCTAGAGAAGGCATCACCACCCCATGCCACCCCTGTGGTATTAGAAATTGAATCCAGAGGCCCTCAGCCCTTTTAATTTTGTTGTAAGAACAGGTCTTGCTAAATTGCCCAGGCTGGCCTTGAACTTTCCATCTTCCTGCCTCAGCCTCCCAAGTTGCTGTGGTTTTAGGTGTGTGCAACCATGCCCAACTGAGATTTTTAGTGGTTATGAGGGGGTGAATGTTGAGAGCCACAGCCGAGTTGGAATAGCCCCTGGCATTTTGCCAGAAGTAATGGTTGAGGTGAGCCATTAAGATGATGATAATTAAGTTAAGCTGTGTATAATTGCTGTGACTGGATGATGCTGGATTGAAACAGGCTGTGTATTCAATTGTATATAGACCCCTGCTGTCCGTAATAGGGTGGTTCCGGCAATAGGAGGAGTTTTCCCAGACCTTTGAGTTCTGGCGGAGCCTGAGGGAACGTGAGGGAGTTCCGGTTGGTGTGGTGTGCCTGGGAGGGCCACGTGGGTGGCCTTTGGAAATAAAGGTCGGAAATAAAGTTTGTTCCTGCTTGAGTGGCTCCTGATTTGTGCCCAGCCAGGTGAAGGTTAAGAGTTTGGGTAGAGGGGGCTGGGGATGTGGCTCAAGCGGTAGCGCGCTAGCTTGGCATGCCATGTGGCCTGGGTTCGATCCTCAGCACCACATACAAACAAAGATGTTGTGTCTACCAAAAACAAACAAAAAAAATAAATATTAAAAATTAAGAAAAAAAGAGATAGATTGGGTAAAGCCAGGAAAGAATGTCTAATTTAGGAGTTTTGTGCTGTTATGTGTATATTTCTTCACTGTCCTTTCAGTAAAAATCTATATTACTGGAGTGGTTTTAGAGTTGAATTGTTTTTTAATTTAATTTTGTTTTTAAATTATTCAGATAATTTTCAGGGTCCCGAAGTCAAAACTATACTATAAAGGTACACTCACAGGAACACTTTTTTTTTTTTTAAAGAGAGAGAGAGATAATTTTTTAATATTTATTTTTTAGTTATCGGCAGACACAACATCTTTGTGTATGTGATGCTGAGGATCGAACCTGGGCTGAACACATGCCAGGCGAGCGCGCTACCGCTTGAGCCACATCCCCAGCCCCATCACAGGAGCACTTTCATTCTGGCCCCTTCCATGCTGAATCCTTCCAGTAGCACCCAAGCTTTAGAGGACCACACAACATCACAAACATACTAAAAATGTCTTCATAAAAGAACACAAGACTGCTGGAAGCGGTGGTGCACACCCACAATCTCAGTGGCTCAGGAGGCTGAGGCAGGAGGATCACAAGTTCAAGGCCAGCCTCAGGAATTTAATGAGACTCTCAGTGTCTTAGTGAGACTCTGTCTCAAAATAAAAAATAAAAAGGTGGGGGTGGGGATGTGGCCCAGTGGTAAAGCACCCCTGGGTTTAATCCCCAGTGCAAAAAAAAAAAAAAATTAGAACACATGGCTTCCTCTGTAGATCAGGACCCAGAACTAGGCATTGGTACAGAAGAGCCTGTGACTCTAAAAACATCATCTCTGGTAATAACATGGTTCACGCCCAGAGAAGCACTTCCACACATCTCAGAAGCCATGTCCTAGAAACACGATGTCACTGATTCCAAATGCCACAAAGGTCAGTAGGTTGTACCAAGAATATTTTAAGAGATCAGAAGTAATTAGATAAGAAAATAGATAAAACTGTCTGGTGTGACGGCACACACCTGTAATCTGAGCAACTCAGGAAACTGAGGAGGAGGATGACATGTTCAAGGCCAGCAAGGCCAGCCTTATCAACTTAGCAAGACCCAGTCTCAAAATTAAACATAAAGTGCTCACTTCGGCAGCACATATACTAAAATTGGGACAACACAGAGAAGATTTGCATGGCCCCTAAGCAAGAATGACACGAAATTCGTGAAGCATTCCATATTTTTCCCAATAACATTCCATTGCCCTAAGCAAATTTCATGCTTATCCAAAAGTTGAGGGGTGGGAACATGCACATAAAGGAATCTATGAGGTCACATGACAAAGTATGTTGATACATAGGGGTAAATGTGTGTGTAAGGAAATGTATCCCTTAATAAAATTAGCCATACTATGAAAAACATTTAAATATAAAAAGAGCTGGGGGGCTGGGATTGTGGCTCAGAGGTAGAGCACTCGCCTAGTCCATCTACAAAAAAGATTCTCTCTCTCTCTTTAAAAAAAAAAAAAAGAGCTGGGGAGGTAGCTCAGTGATAGAGTGTCCCAGGGTTCAGTTCCCAGTAGGGGGGAAGACCCTGTCTGAAAATAAATAATAAAAAGGACTAGGGATGTAGCATGGTGGTAAAATACTCCTGGGCTCAATCCCCATGATGAAAGAGAGAAATTAATTAACTGGTCAAATCTTTCTCACTGTTGTTCTTCCTATCTCAGTTTGTGGCTCCAGAAGTACTCAGAAATTAATATAGTGTTGTTTTTTTTAATTTTTATTGTTGGTTGCTCAAAACATTACATAGTTCTTGATATATCATATTTCACACTTTGATTCAAGTGGGTTATGAACTCCCATTTTTACCCCGTATACAGATTGCAGAATCACATCAGTTACACATCCATTGATTTACATATTGCCATACTAGTGTGTTGTTTTCTGCTGCCTTTCCTATCCTCTACTATGCCCCCTCCCCTCCCCTCCCCTCCCCTCTTCTCTCTCTACCCCCTCTACTGTCATTAATATAGTGTTTTTAATAGTAGCTGAGGAACATTTTGTAATATTAATTCCTATTTATTTTAAAATTCATACCTATGTAGGTCTAAATGAAACAGGCATGTGTATTTAACTGTTTGACTCAAAGGAAGGATTTTGGGGAAGCTACTATTGATTTTAAGCATTGCTTTAAAAGATTATCAAGGGAAATTCTATGGTAATGGCACTGATGTGGTTAATAAAGATAAAGGTAGTCAGGCATGATAGCACACACCTGTAACCCCAGCTGCTTGGAAAGCTATGGGAAGACTGAGCAGGAAGATCACAAGTTTGAGTCCAACCTTGGCAACTTAGCAAGACCCTGTCTCAAAATAAAATTTAAAAAGTGCTGGGGTTGGGCTGGGGATGTGGCTCAAGCTGTAGCGCACTTGCCTGGCATGCATGCGGCCGGGTTCGATCCTCAGCACCACGTACAAACAAAGATGTTGTGTCTGTCGAAAACTAAAAATAAATATTTTTTTTTAAAAAGTGCTGGGGTAGAGTTCAATGGTATAACAGTTGCCTAGAATACGTGAGTCCCTGAATTCAATCCCCAGAACTATAAATAAATAGTTAAGGTGAACAAGTCAGAATCTTAGCCAAATATCCAGAAGCATTTTTGGGGCCATGTGTCCTCTATAGCACATAGTTGAACTTGTCAGGAAACCCAGCCTAACTGTGCTGATACTGTTAACATTCTTTGGTTAATAAAAAGATTATAATGGAATGTTCAGGAACAGCTCAAAATGAAACATCTTGGAAAAAATCCATATCAAATTTGACTTTACAACTATCTTGGATACATGATGGCATGCTGGCTACATGTTGCTAAAACAAGTAGATTTATTTAGACAAGAAACTAAAGCAGGCTAGATGTGGTGGTGCACACCTGTAATCCCAGCAGCTCAGGAGACTGAGACAGGAAGATCTCGAGTTCAAGCTAGACTCAGCCTAAGCAACACAATGAGACCCTGTCTCAAGATAAAAGGTTTAATTTCTGGTATCAAAAAAGAAAAGAAACTAAAGCAAGAAGAGTGAAGCAAGACAACAAGAGTGGCAAATAAGGAGCAACTAATGGTCTCAAGTGGACAAAGAAATTACTCTTGAATGTGCATTACCTGCAGCTATTCAAAATGGGCTGTTGCTTATTGCAAATAATATTGACAAAAGTCTAACAAGCATCTGCCTCCGCTGAGGTAGGAGGATTGCTTGAAACCAGCCTGGAAACCCAGCAAGGCCCCATTTCAAAACCAAACTATAGCCAGGTGTGGTAGCACACACCTATAATCCCAGAGACTCAAGAGGCTGAGTCAGGAGGATCACAAGTCTGTGGCCAGTCTCAGCAACTTAATGAGACCCTCAGCTACTTAGTGAGACTCTGTCTCAAAATAAAATGAAAAATGGGCTGGGGATGTGGCTCAAGCGGTAGCACGCTCGCCTCGCCTGGCATGCGTGCGGCCCGGGTTCAATCCTCAGCACCACATACAAAGATGTTGTCCGCCGAAAACTAAAAAAAAAATAAATATTAAAATTCTCGGGCTGGGGCTGTAGTTCAGTGGTACAGCACTTGCCTAGCATGTGCGAGGCACTGGGTTTGATTCTCAGCACCATGTATAAATAAAAATAAATAAATAAATAAAAAATAAAATGAAAAATAAAAAGGGTTGGGGATATAGCTCCGTGGTTAAGCACCCCTGGGTTAAATCCCCAGACCAAAAAAAAAAAAAAAAAAATGAAAGAAAGAAAAAAGCATAACAAAAAAAAAACAACAACTAAGTTTGGTTATTTTACTTTTTTAAAATCAAGTGGCAATTGGAGCTGGGGTTGTGGCTCAGCGGTAGAGCACTCGCCTCTCACATGTGAGACCCTGGGTTCGATCCTCAGCACCACATAAAAATAAATAAACAAAATGAAGATATTGTGCCCATGTATAACTAAAAATTTTTTTAAATAGAAATATAAATTTATATATGATATTTCAAGAGCTTTGTAATGTTTTGAACAACTAATAATAAAAAAATAAATAAAAAAAGAAATATAAATTTAAAAAAAATCAAGTGGCAATCAATATTGATTGCTCAGTTAGGGTAGCCATGTGGCAATGAATCCAGGGATGTGGCCCTGCCCCACCCACTGGACACTAGAACACCCTGGGAGGGCTACACACTGTCACCATTGGCCTGAAACTCCTGCTTCAGGGGCAGCAGTGCCTTGTCCAGCAGTTAGGGCAGGACTGCCTGAAGTGTGACAGGCACACAGTGGCAGAGACTGGAGGGCACGTGCCCCTGGGAGGGGTCCTGAGTAGACACGTTTTCAACTCATTTGGGTAAATACCAAAGGAATACAAGCGTTGTTGGAGGTGTAAGAAACTATCAAACTGTCACAGTGGCTGTATCTTTTTGTATTCCCGCTAGCCTTGCAAGAGTTCCTATGGAGCATGCCTGTAATCCCAGTGGCTAGGGAGGCTGAGGCAGGAGGATCACCAATTCAAACCCAGCCTCAGCAATTTAGCGAGGCCCAAAGCAACTCAGTGAGACCCTGTCTCGAAATAAAATATTTTAAAAAGGGCTAGGGGGTGCTAGGGTTGTGGCTCAGCAGTAGAGCGCTCGCCTAGTATGTACAAGGCACTGGGTTCAAGCCTCAGCACCACACAAAGATAAATAAATAAAATAAAGGTATTGTGTCCAATTACAACTGAAAAAAATATTTTTTAAAAGGGGGGGAGGGAGCTAGAGATGTCTCGATGTTGCTCAGTGGTTAAGTGCCCTGCGTTCAATTCCAGTTCCAAAACAAAAAAGAGTTGCTTTCTGAGTGGTGATGGTACTTTGGATTCTGGACATTCTCATAGGTACATAGCTCACCACACATGCTAGGTGAGCGCTCTACCGCTGAGCCCCAGCCCTAGACCTAGCTCTAGTTTTTTAGTTGAAAAATATCTCCTGGCTTAGCACAGTGGTGCACACTTGTAACTCTGGAAGCTGAAGTGGGAGGATCTCAAGTTTTAAATCAACCTTGGAAATTTAGAGAGAACCCATCTCAAAATAAAAAAAATAAAAGGCAGGGGATATAGTTCAGTTGTAGATTGCTCCTGGATTTAGTCCCCAGTACTGATGAAAAAAAATTTTTTTAACTTAAAAAGGCCTGGGGGACTGGGGTTGTGACTCAGTGATAGAGAACTCACTTAGCATGTGTGAGGCACTGGGTTCGATTCTCAGCACTGCATATAAATTAATTAATTAAATAAAGGTCCAGTGACAACTAAAAAATATTTAAAAGGCGGGGGGCTAGGAAGTAGGTTGGTCTCAGGAGAGCACTTGACTCACATTTGGGATGCCCCGAGTTTAATTCCCACAAATGCAAATAAAACAAAACAAAAAAACTTCCTGACAATCATCTCCAGTGCAGAGATTGTCCTTATTCTTTTGACAGCTGCATAGTACTCCATAGCTAGAACTGATGCAAGGATTATTTTTAGAAACCTCAGAGAAATGTTGTGTCCCACTTGAAGCTGGATGTGGGAAGGAGAGGCTGCCAGGAGGAACTCAGTCACATGAGGGTAACAAGGTTAAAAGAGAGCCACATCTTGTGTGTAGGAGACAGCCTCCCCAGACAGGATTGATCCTTTGGGATTTACAAGGGAAATGGAATCTTCGAAAGAAGACCTTTATTTCTGTTCCTCCTGGAGTCTGAATTCTAATGCATTTAAACTGGCTTCTGATTGCGCTCTTGCTTAAAACCATTCATACACACTCTATTGCCGTTAATAATTCATCATTATTTCCCAGGGCTGTGGCAGAGGCCAGTAATCCCAGTGACTGGGGAGGCAGAGAAAGGTGAGTTCAAGGCCAGCCTCAGCAATTTGCCTATACCCTGTCTTAAATTTTTAAGAAATAAATAAAAAGGACTGGGGAGGCAGCTCAGTGGTAAAACAACCCTAGTTTCAATCCCCAGAACTGAAAAAAAAAAATTATGGTTTGTAAATCTGACTAACCTTTTTCCTCCCTTGTGGGTTTTGAATTAACTGCTAACAGTCCCCTGCACAGAGCAGGCTGTGCCACACTCTGCTCAGCCCACCCCACACCTGTCCAGCTCCTTACCTATAATTCATCCCTTAAAATGAGGGTAGGTGGAGCCAGGCATGGTGGTGAATGCCTGTAATCCCAGGTACTCAGAAGGCTCAGGCAGCCTCCACAATTTAGCAAGACCCTGTCTCTAAGTTAAAAGGGCTAGAGATGCAGTTCAATGGTAAGTGCCCCTGGGTTCAATCCTAATCACCAAAAACCAAAAAACAAAATGATGCTAGATGTCAACTCTTCCAGGAGCTACACTCACAACTCCAAGTAACTGGGATTTTTGTTTTAATATTTTTTGTTTTAATATTGAGAATTGATGTTTTAATATTAAGGATTGAACCCAGGTGCATTTTAGTACTGGGCTACATCCCTAGCCCTTTTGTTGTTGTTATTAATTTGGTACTAGGGACTGAACCCAGGAGTGCTTTACCCCAGTCCTTTTTGTTTTATTTGAGACAGGGTCTCACTAAGTTGCTGAGGGTCTTGCTAATTTGAGAGGCTGGTCTCAAACATGTGATCTTCCTGCCTCAGCCTCCCCAGTCTCTGGCATTACAGGAGTATACCGTTGAACCTGGCTCCAAGTAACTGTTCTATGTGCATACTTGCATCCTGGTTCTTGGTGCTTTGTAGTATAACATTATAGTACTTGCCTGTCCTCCTAATGAGAGTGCCTGTTTCTTAAACACATGGACCTTTCTAATATCATCCATCTTCAGTCCCTAGCTTACCTGACTTCTGTGCTAGTTTCCAAAGCACAACAGACACAGTAATTATGACAAAGAGAGAAGAAAATTCTATGGTGCAATCTCTGTTTACTCTCAAAGGTCTCTATCTACACATTACCTCCAAGAGCCCAGCTTTGCAATTCAATCGGCTCCCTATCTTTCCACCTATTCCATATCTGATGAGGGAACAATTCAAACTAGGGATGCCATTATAGAGGGGTAGAGAACTTTCATGCTGTTGGTGGAATTGTAAATTAGTGCAACCATTATGGAAATCAGTATGGAGGTTCCTCAAAAGACTAGGCATGGAATCACATATAACCCAGCTATCCCATTCTTCGGTATTTATCCTAAAGAATTCAAGTCATCACACTATACAGATATATGCGTACCCAGCCTACGTGTATGTCAGTGGATGAATGGATAAAGAAAATATGGTGTATATATACACAATGGAGTTTTATTCAGCTACAAAAGAGAATGAAATTATGTCATTGGCAGGTAAACGAATGGAACTTGAGACCATTATCAGTCAAGGGTTGTATGTTTTCTCTCATTGTGGAAGCTAGAGAGGAAAAGGGAAAGAAAGTTATGGGGGGCAGGGCACCTCCTGAAAATCAAAGGGAGACCAGTAGAGGAAAGGGGCCAAAGGGAGGGAGGAGGGGAGGAAGAAGGGAAACACCGGAGAATTATACTGACCAAAGTGTCTTATTAGATCATGTGCATGTATGAACACGTAACAATGACTCTCACTAAATACATCAATAAAATTTTTTAATTAAAAAAAAAAAAAAACCTAGGGGCACCAGGGGGCGCTCCCAGGCCGGGAAGAAATGGAGAAACCATTGTAAATTTAAATCCCAATTTCATCACACCATGTGGTCATTGCTCAAGAACTTGCAATGGCTCTCTGTTGCCTAACTTCTTTTCTTCTTCTTCTTCTTGGCAGTGCTGCAGATTGAACACAAGGCCTTTCACATGCTAGGCAAATACTTTACACTGAGCTATGTCCCCAGCACTGCCTAACCTATTTTAAGATCCAAGCTCTTCCCCATGTCCTAACTCTGCCTCCTCTGCTGGAGCTTCCACACACATGCACCCTCTTTTCTGCTCAATACTGCATATAAATAACCAAACAGTCCCGGGAGCAGGCAGGACATTTTATTCAAGGGCCAATGAATGAATGGAGTAAAGGAGTTCATGCTATAAAGGCACCTTCTCCCTGGCAGGACTGGGGTTTGGGTGTGTACTAGGCTGGGTGATGGGGGTGTGGCATGCATGCTGTCATTAGAGCTTTCACAAGGGAGATTTCCAGAGATCAGTATGCCACCTCACTGGATCATTGTAATGAATCCAAGGTCATCCATCCAGGGTGTCACCACAATGCCAGAACTATATGGAACTCACTTGGAGGTCCTCTCAGGAAGTGACAGCTCTGTGGTCACATGGATGACAGTTGAAGCATGTGGTTCTGGGAATCAGAGGAATCATTCTTTTTGTGTGTCTGTGCACAGGTGAGTACTGGGGGTTGAACCCAGGGCGCTTTAACCACTGAGCTACATCCCCAAGTCCTTTCTATTTTTTATTTTGAGACAGGGTCTCACTATGTGGCTCAGGGCCTTACTATATTGCTGAAGCTGGCCTTGAACTTGAGATTCTCCTGCCTAAGCCACCATGCCTGTGGGGCTTCAGTCTTTAAACCTCATAAGCAAGCAACATCTGTAAACAGAGGTGATAGGACAACATGCTATCAGTAATTTGTGGATTCATGCTGGTGACAGCTATGTCCTGTCGAATTTCTAGTTCACCACTCTTCACTGAGCACCGACCGTCTGCACAATGGTGGTGTCAAGATGGGTAGAATTTTGGTGGAGCCTCCAAGTAAACATGATTAAAATAAAAGTAGAGGGTTTCAATTCAAAACAAGTCGCTGAGCCTCCTGCCATCTCCATCTTCTGAAGGCTGATGCCTCTCTGAAACTCCACCTGTACAGAAATTTCTGCAGTCATCACTGAAAGTGTCCCTCCCTTTCTCTGCTCCCATCCCTCTTTCTTTACTTGTACCATTTTCCCTGCCCAGAATGTCAAGCCCGCACTCCTCCTCTCTCTGAACCTGACCTCTCATTGAAACTTCCACATTCCAAAGACTTTCCTAGTTAGTGGAGGGAGCCCAAAGTCTACATTAACACTCCCTTTCTGAATCCCTTTTGCACTTCCTGTTTATGCCACAGGATCCAGCTCTTCATCAAGCTATAAAAATTACAGACATAGTGCACGGGTTTGGAGCTAGATAAATCTTCCTTCAAATTTAAGTTCCTTGAGGTGATGAAAAAGTTCTGGGGCTGGGGTGTCACTCAGGGATAGAGCACATACTTAGTATGATGGAGGCCAGGGTTCCACCACCCCAGTACCAAAAAAAAAAAAAAAAATCTGAAACTAGATAGTAGAGATAGTTGCACAACACTGTGAATGTACTTAATACTACTGAATTGTACTCTTAAAAGATGCTTAAAATTGTAAATTCTGTGTTATGTGCATTTTAAGTGCTATGATTGCACCTAGAGCTTTGTAGCTACACCCCAGCCTAACTATAACTTTTAAAATGTAATTCCATCACTCACTGCCTATGTAAGTTTAGGTCATGTAACTCTCTCTCTTTCTTTTGTATTGGGGAGATTGAACCCAGTGGCACTTTATCTCTGAGCTACATCTTCAACCCTTTTTATTTTTTATTGAGACAGGAGAGTGTCAGTAAGTCACTTAGGGCATTGCTAATTTTTTTTTTTTTTTTTTTTTTTTTTGAGAGAGAGAGAATTCCAATATTTATTTTTTAGTTTTTTCGGCGGACACAACATGTTTGCTTGCATGTGGTGCCGAGGATCGAACCCGGGCTGCACGCATGCCAGGCGAGCACGCCACTGCTTGAGCCACATCCCCAGTCCGGCATTGCTAAATTGTTAAGGCTGGCTTGGAACTTGTAATCCTCCTGCCTCAGCCTCCTGAGTCTCTGGGATTACAGACATTCACCACCATGATCAGCGAGGTACGTGTAACATTTTGTGTTTCCCATTTCCTCATTTTTTGTTGTAAATAGCAAGATAAAGTACTGGTCATGAAAATGACCCTAAGGAACAGGTCTAAGCTGTAAAGCACGCTGCAAAGATGAGATAGGCCCTGAGATATGCATAGTTTCTTTCCTTGGGTCAGCGCACTGCTGTGTTCCCTCTGAAGAGTCCCAGTGAGTTTACTTACAGGAAACCCATTAAGTTGGTAGCAAAATCATCAGTTCTTTCATGCTGTTTTGAGACCATAGTTGATGGAGCAGTTTCCAGTGTGACAGGCATGTGAAGGGATGGTGCCAGTGAGAGAGTACAGCCACGGTTGTGTCCAAATCCTGTGTCCTCTCCACTTTTCATATTCCCTAGAGGGCCCCAGCCACTGGGGTGCCAGGTCCAGGGAGAGAGCAGGCCAGAGCCTGGGCAGCTACAGGGGGGCTTCCAGACCCCCCTCCTCCAATGCGATCTCCTGGCTTAAAGCTAAGGTCAAAAGAAATGCACAAGTATTCTTCAGAGAGGATAGGACCAGGGGACCCAGAATATGGCACTCCCAGGTTTCCCACAGCCTCCCCAACTGTACATCAGCTGGCCTTTTCTCAGGGACAACTCAAAGTCAAACTTAAACAGCCCTCTGGGGACATTCCTCTCCCTGCGTGGTGGTATTTTGGGGACCGGATGTGAACTTCCCAGAAGGGGAGAGGTGTAAACTCCCAGCATCCTGGCCCGCCCCCATCATTCCTCACTCTCCAAGTTTAGGTCGGGCACTGGGAAATAAGAGGGGATCTAGAGTTCAGAGGTCAGAGTACTGAGACCCAAGAAATCACTCCTGATAGGAGTGGGTCCCGCAGAGCCCTCAACTCTGCGCGGATGCTGAAATCCTGCCTGGAGACTCTGTCCTGGGATCACAGCCCACTGCCCATCCAGATAGTTCTCTCCCGGCCTCCCCCGCACCCACCCCACTTTGGAGAGGGGGTGACAGGACAGATTGAATCACCTCTGACGGCCGCACAGGGATGGGCCAAAGGACCGGATAAAGGGCTCCAGGAGGGCTCCCAGGCCGCCCCCCCAACCCCGCCAGGCACGGCGCGGCCCGAGGCTGCAGCCTGAGCATTTATGGTAATGTTTGGGTTGGTGCGAGGCAGGATGCCCCGCCCCCAGGCGCCGCCGGCTGGACCTCCGGAGTAGGGCTCCTGGGGCGCGCAGTGGAGCCTATACCCGCGCCCTCCAGCCAGGGCTGGATCCCCGGGAGGAGGTCCTGGGTGCTGGGGGCTGCGGTCGAGCAGGTGGGCTGTCCTAGGCGGAGAAAGCCCTGGGATCTGAGGGGACATGCGGGCCAGCCTTGGTCTAAGGGTCCAGCAGATCAGGGGGCTGGGATGGTAGGGCTGGGACCGCTTCAAATGCCCGACCCACCCACTACTGTCTGGCTTAAGGGTTCCTAGTCCCCAGGAAGATGTTGCATCTACATCCTCTTTTTCCTGCCCCCACCCGGCAGTGAAGGGACTGAGAGCCCAGTAGCTCCCAGGGGAGTCCCCGGAATGCCGGGAGCCTGAGAACAGACCCTGCAGTCCCTGGGAAAGCCAGGCAGTGGGAATCCCACCATCAGCCCCTTCCCCAGGATGAACCACCGGATGTCGGATGTGGGAGACCCCAACTCCCCAACAGGGGCTTTGTGAGGGTGGAATTCGCCTCCCCACTGGTCTAAGCCCAAGCTCCAGCCTGGCCCGACCCCAGAGTTCAGTAGGCCAGCTGTGACGACGATGCCCCTCCCCCACCCTGTGCTCCCCTAGCCTGCTCCAACATAATCCTCGCCTTTGTGCCACTCCCCCGCTTCAGCCTCCCCCTTCTCTGGACCCCTACACAATGGGGCCTTTGCCGCCTCCAGGGTGGAGATGAACTCACGGTTTTTCCAAGTTTAAAAATAACCCCTCCCGTCCCCCCAGAAAGCCACCAGTGCTGCTGGGGTGCACCTCCATCCAGACTGCACCTCCTTCCTCCTGCCCTAGGTCAGGTGCGAAGGACATGAATGCCCGGAGGGAGCGGGGCGGCTTCCCCTCATTCAATCTCTTCCCCCACATCTTCCACCAGCCCACCCCCAGTATCCGGTTTGCAGGCCCAAAGATGTCTTAGGCAGCTACTGTCCCCCACCCTCCTCCCACCCTGTTTTTCACTCACAGCACAATCTCCTCTCAATCAGAACCCCCCCCCCCCCATAAAAAAAAATCTGGAAAGTTTCCTGCATCCCCTCCAAGACCCAGGCCAGTTTCTATCTTCTAGGGGGTTCCCCGACCTCCATTGTTGCCAAGATTGCTAGGCCACCCCTTCCGCCCCCATCTCCTTCTCAGGGCAGCTGCAAATTCGTCTTTATCAGCTTCCTTCCTCAGCCCAGCCTGCCTTTGTCACATCCTTCTGGTTAAGGTTCCTGGACCAGAAGGTGTATTCATTCGGAAGCCACTGTGCCCACTAAGCAAAAGTTAGCTGGGAGAGAACTCTGGGGCCAATCTCCCCACAAGGTGCTGGTGGAGTGACTTTGTCTCTTTGCCTCCAACTCTACTCTTCCCCACTTTTCCTTATAATGGATGGAAAGTCCCACTTGCCCAGGAGGCTACCTCCCTCACCCAGCTTCAGTTTCTCCACCTTATTTATCAGACCTATACTAGAGAGGCACCCAAAGGCATTCTGCACGGAGAGAGCCCCCTCATCTCAGGAGCCTAGGTCTACCATGGAGGTGGAGAAAAGCTGCAGTCCTAGCCCCACTTCCTGGAGGGAAGTGAGGCAAAGAATTAGGACTCTACCCCACCCCCAGCCCCCAGCCAGGGAGACCTATTCTTCTACCCTTGACCTATCTACCCTTGACAAGGGTTTTTCCTTGAGTGCATGAGTCTCTGCTGGGGTGGAAGGCCCATCTCTGCCCCTTTCTCCTCCATCTCCTCTCCTGCCTTCTCCTCCATATCCCTGTGTGCTGAGTCTCAGTCCTGGAAGTTCTGTTGCTGCCAAAGCTGTATCCTCTGGCGTCTTAGAGGAGCCGGGAGTGATACCATCCACCTGCCCTGCACTCCTGACTTTGTTCCTGTCCTTCCTGTTTCCATTGGCCTCTGAATCCTCTCCAAAGTCCTGACCCCTCTTTGGTTTGTAATCCCAAAGTGACCCTCTTGTGGAACCATCCCTATGTTGTCTGTCCCTTGACCTCTCCCACTCACTCCCTAATGGACTTTTCCTAGGACATATGTTTGTTTGCTGGGGCCATGCAGGGGAGGAGATGTCACCCCTGGGCTCTAATCTCATTTCTCTTTCACTGCAGAGATGACTCTTCCAACCCCCCTAACACCCCCCTTCTGTCTCCTAAGGGCGGAAGAAGAATTCAGAACTGACTGTCCTTGGTGGTTAGCTGGCTGTGTTTTCAGGCTGCCAGAGAAGAGAATGATTAGTTAATGGTGTTAAGTGAAGGGGAGGGGGCAGGGAAGCCAGTCCATGCCCAGCTCCTGGCCTGCCAGGGCAAACAGCAACCTTCAGCTATTCCCACTCCCTGCCCTGCATACAAAAACCTTCATCTGTTCCCTTCTGCTCTGGGCCCTGGGCCAGAGTCCATACATTTAGTCTAGGGGTCAGGAGAGCCAGGGTCCTCCTCTTGCTCTCTCCTGCCCATGTTCCAGCCCCTGGCCTGGCAGGCTTGGCATGGCCTCTGGCTGGAGACTAATGGACAAGGAGGAGGGGTCAGCAAGGCTCTGAAAGACAAGGCTGATGTGGTTTGCCAGTCATCTCTGCGTCATCAAAACACCACCCAGAGCATTCTCTCAAGTCACCTGGCCATCTCTGGCATTTGCTGCCTCACCGTGCTCCTCCCCCCCCCCCCAGCCAGCAGAAAGACTGCCTGGTGGGAGACAGACTTTCACCCCAGATCTAGGCCCCAATCTGACCATACCTGATGAAGAAGTCCCAAAATATATGGATCCTTACCAGAGGCCAGGGTACTGGAGTCTTATGAGGCCAGAAGACTCAGGTAGAAGTCTCAGTTTGGGGAAAAGGGTAGCTGTTGGGCTCCCCTCACCATGCTGAATGACCCAGCTCAGGCAGGGCTTTCTGCAACCAGATCTGATCCCTCCTGCATGTGCTCCTCCTCCAGCTGCTGAACCAAGTCAGTAGGGTGGGGGGGGGGGGGGGGGGGAGTTGGGGGTCAGTAAAGCACTGCTGCAGGGGTCCTTTCAACCATCAGGAAAAGCAAGAGATTTCTAGGGGTCAAACTGGAGACTGTATTTTTTTTTTCCAAGTGCTGGGGATTGAACCAAGGACCTTGTGCATGCAAGACAAGCACTCTACCAACTGAGCTACATCCCCAGCTCCCTCATTCCTTTTCTTCTTCTTTTTTTTTAGTTGTTGATGGACCTTTATTGTATTCATTTATTTATATGCATGCTGAGAATCGAACCCAGTGCCTCGCACATGCGATGCAAGTGCTCTACCACTGAGCCACAACCCCCAGCCCCAGCCCCAGCCCTTTTCATTTTTTAATCAGAGTCGTGCTAAACTGCCCAGGCTGATCTTAAACATGTTATCTTCCTGTCTCAGCTTCTTTTAGTAGTTGGGATTGCAGGTATGCATCACCCGCACTCAGCTGGATCCAGTATCCTTTAAATCTTCCCTCTCTTTTCCTTATTCTGGTGGGAGGAAACTGAGTCCCAGGTCAAGTTTAAAGAGAAAAGATGGTAGGAACAGGATTCTCAGGGTTGGACAAACATGAACACCCCTGGTCACTGAGTTCAGCCCCCTCCCTTTTTTAGTTAAACACGGACTTGCGGGAGTTTGGGCTTGAAAGGACAGACTAGAAGGGACAGACTAGAAGGCACATTCTCCACTCCCCCCTGCAGGTACCTCTGGGTCTGTGGAACCTGGCGCACGGTTCTTCCCCCAAAGCTGCCAGGACAGCCAGGCTGGGGGCAGTGCCAGACCGGCAGCAGCCGCGCAGTGGAGCAATCATTCTGGGAGGTGTCCAAAGCTGGCCCAATTTCTCTGAGGCGGAGCAGAGGAGCCTGAATGGGAGGTTCCCATAAGGGACACAGAGGACCTGATCCGCTATTCCTCCGCCAGGAGGTCCCCCAGGGCTACACTGGTAAGGTCTGAGCTGGGGTGAACACCGCTGTGGCGATCTGGGCCATTCTGGGCATCCGGACCAGCTTCTCCTAGCTGCTTCCTCGGTTAGTCTGTCCGGCCCCAAGACACCTGTCACTGCTCCCGTGGTATGCTCAAACTGGGGGCTGGAAGGCGGGCTAAGGCCTACCTCCGGCCGCGCTCTGGAGCGCAGCTTAGGGGCCGGCGCACCGGGGACCGCCCCCTAGGGCTGCTGCGCGCGGGGGCGGGGGCAGGGGGCTGCGCGGGGCGGGGCAGGCCAGCGCTTGGGCCCCCCCTCCCCCGCCCCCCTGACGTCAGCCCCCGGCAGTCGCAAGCTCCTCACTTGGCTCTCGTCCTCCGGCCGGGAAGCATGGATCTACCCGGACTCCTCTGCGCCTTCTTGCTGGTCGTCTGCTGCTGCTGTCGCCGCGCCACTGGTGAGTGAGTTGGGTGGGGGACCCGTGCCCCGCAGCGCCCGGGCCGAGGGTCTTCAGGGGGAGCGTGCGGGAGAGCAGAGCCCGGAGCGCGGCGGCGCCGGGGATTTGAGCCCCAGTGCCCGAGTGCCGGGCTCCCTGGCGCCTTGCGCGCGTGCAACTATTCTTTGCATCCAGTTTGCAGTCTGGATTCTAGAGTATCCGGGATCAGGACTGGGAAGACCGGGTGGAGGCTGCTGCCGCGCGAGAGAAAGGGTGGAGTCGAGGCTCTCGGAGAGTTTTTCCGCAGGTGCCCACTCTGGGGACCGGCTTTTGGAGCCGGGATGGGAGGCGCAACCAGCCCGTATCCCCAACCCCTGAATCCGGCGTCCGCCTGTTGCTGGAAAAGGCAGCTTTTCTAGCTGGAGGGGTGCGCCGACCCCTCCCCCTCCGTCCTGGGCCTCGCGCCAGGCTGGAGGTGAGCAAGAGGAGGAGGAACGGCTGCTCCCGCCGGGCTGGGCGTTGGCACGGGCTATAGGCAGTGTGGGTCGCCTCGCGACTCCTCGGTGACCGGCATAGATGGTAGATACGAGGGATGGAGCATTTCTAGAGTGGAAGCACCAGTGGACTTAGTTTAAGGACTACATTCTGGTGGGAAAAGCGCCCAAGCACCTGGGAGCTTTTCTCTGGAACCGCCTAGTAGCTGGGCCCTCCCGGGGTCCATGCTGCCCTTGTATGGCCCGCAGCGGTATCGCGTGTTACTCTTGGCTCCTACCCTGATCCCAGCCGCTATCCGCCCGGGGAACGGTTGGACTGGGCATTACCCACTTGGCTGGCCTCATGCCCAGTGCCAGCCATATCCCTAGAGTATTCCAGTCTACTGCCTCCTAGGCTGACCTTATTTCTGGGGAAAGGGCTAAATAGGGCTCCATAGCTGCAGTGGGTCCCGCAGCACCCTGCCCTGCTCTTCTGGCTCTGGGGAAAAAGAGTCAAGAATCGGAGGCTTCTGCTCTGGGTTGAGGACCATTGCACTGGCCCTGTCTGCCTGGGAGCCAGATCAAGGCAGGCATCCTAGGGTCTGGCCAGATGGTGTCAAGTGACATAACTTCCTCACAGGATTGGGAGCACCACTAATGCCACTAATGTCACTCTTGCCCACTCCCTGACCCTTGTCCTGACCCCTGGGGGACTCTGACCCCTCCATACTCACCAGATTCCCAGGACGAGATCCCCTGAGTGTATGTGGAATGTTCATTGCCATACTGCTTAGGGAGCATGAGATCACAGTGTGGCCAGATTGGCTCATTAGGTCTTCTTGGGGGTTTAGGGAGGAGACTTGGGGGGGGGTAGGCAGAGGGTAGAATAGTGACGTCTGCCCTGGGGATGGGGACACAAAGGGGCCTGTGTGCCCCAGCCTGGCACATGCCTTGCATTCCCACACTCTGAGCTCACTCAGAGAGCAGGGGAGGAGACCTAGGAGGAAAGGAACCTTCCTCTTGGCCCAGAGCCTATTCATGTTGCCCCTCTTCCCCTCTGCCATCCTCATTTGGGAAGTGCCCCATGTTCAGTCTTCGCTCTGAGGACCAGGATCCCCCTGCAGTAGGAGAGGGGCAGGGTGAGTTGGGGGCAGGCAGGGTGAGGTTGAGGGTTAGGAATGGACAGGGCCTTCTTCGGGCCCTCCTGAGTGGCAGGAGAACAGCTGCAGGGAGTAGTGTGAAGGGATGGGGAGAGCTGGAGCTGACACAGCTGCTGGTGTACACCCCTTCCTCCCTCCAGGTGTGCCTGGAGAGGCGGAGCAGCCCACACCAGAGATGGTGGAGGTGGAAGTGGGCAACACGGCCCTTCTGAGGTGTGGCCCTTCGCACTCCCTGAGCAACCTCAGCCATGTGGACTGGTTTTCTGTGAGTTCCTGAGCTCCTAGGGGCAGTGGGAGGTGGGAAGCTCTGCCCCCCATGTAGACCCAGGACCCTTACCTCTCTGTCCCATCCCCTCAGGTCTACAAGGAGAAGCCCACACTCATCTTCCGTGTGCGCCAGGGCCAGGGTCAGAGTGAGCCTGGGGAGTACCAGCACCGCCTCAGCCTCCAGGGCCCAGGGGCTCTGGCTCTGACTCAGGTCATGCCCCATGATGAGCGCATCTTCCTGTGTCAGAGTAAGCGTCCTTGGTTCCAGGAGCACCGCATTCAGCTCCGTGTTTTCAGTGAGTGCCCCTCCCTTCCTGCCTTCACGTCAGTATGGATCATGGGAAGCGGGCTCCAGTGCTCCTGCTGATTTTCCTCCCCTTGTAGAAGCTCCAGAGGAGCCAACCATCCAGACCAGTGCCCTGGGCATCTCTGTGAACAGCAAGGAGCCTGAGGAGGTGAGATATGCTGGGCTGACCAAGTATAAACAGGAGCTAAGGTGGGCCTTGGCGGGGTGTCAGGCAGGGAGACTCATACCCTCTCCTTCTTAGGTCGCCACCTGTATAGGGAGGAATGGGTACCCCATTCCTCAAGTCATTTGGTACAAGAATCGTCTGCCCCTGATGGAGGAGAAAAATCGTGAGTACCCTTCTTGCCTGTGGTACCACACAGGGACTAACTAACCCTTATTTTTGCTTTTACTAAAAAAAAGAAAAAAAAAATATGACTTAGGAGCTAAAGCAGAAGGATCACAAATTTGAGGTTAGCTTGGGCAACTTAGGAAGACTCTGACTCAAAAATAAAAATTAAGTAAAAAGGGCTAGGAGTATAGCTCAGTGATAGAGTGGCCCTGGTTTCAATCCCCAGAACTGGAAAAAGTAAAAAATAAATCAACAAGTGATTTTTTTTTTTTTTTTTTTTTGGTACCAGGGTTTGAACTAAGGGGTACTCAACCACTGAGCCACATCCCCAGCCCTTTTTTGTATTTTAGAGACAGGTTCTCACTGAGTTGAACTCATGATCCTCCCACCTCAGCCTCCCGAGCTGCTGGGATTACAGGCATGTGCCAGTGCACCCGGCAACAAGTGATGTTTGGAAATATTTTGATAAAGGATATCACCGGCCCCCCCGCCACCCCTGTGCTGGGGTTGAACCTAGGGTGTTGTACCTGCTAGTAGGCAAGTGCTCTACCACTGAGTTAGAGCCCCAGTTCCAAGAATTTGAATTGCACAGAAAAGTTAGACGTTCCTCTGATTTACTATCAGAAGTAACCTCTGCTGTCAGTTCTTTCAGGCCCATTTCTGTATATTTATTCACACACACAAATATCTCTAGAAGCATGTAGGCATTTTATTATTTAAATCAGTGGTCTCTAACCAGGATTGACTTTTACACCCCACCAGGGGATATTTGGCAGTGTCTGGTGGTAGTTTTGGTTATCAAAAGTATAGGGGGTGCTATTGGCATCTGGTGAGTAGAGGTGGGATGCTGCTACACTTGGTATGGTGCAAAGGATGCCCCACCACAAAGACTCACTTTTAGCCTGAAACATCATTAGTGTCAGGTTGGCAAACCCTGAGAACTATTAAAGTGTGGTATGTATTGCTACAGTTTCTTTTATTTATTTTTAAATAAACTTTTTTCATCATTGATGAACCTTTATTTTATTCATTTATTTGTATGTGGTGCTGAGAATTGAACCCAGTGCCTCACACATGCTAGGCAAGTAGTCTACCACTGAGCCACAACCCCAGCCCTAGACAGTTTCTTTTGTGTAATCTTTGTAGTTCAGTCTGTGTAGATGTACTTGTTGTGCCTGCTGCAGAGTTTTAGACTCTGCTGTTCCTGCTTGATGAGTCTAGCATGTCTCATTTTTCTAATCATCTTGGGTAATTTGTTTTGTTTTTGGCCCTTGGGGTGAAGCTAGACCCTTGTGTATATGCTAAGCATATGCTCTACCACGGACTGCACTCCCAGGCACCTCATATACGTTGCTGCAGCAATACTGGCATACATCTTTGTATATATGCTGTTGTGTGAATGTTTTTCTAGGGTAGATACTGCACAGTAAAAGTGCTGGGTTGAAAAGTTGCCAGGTTGCATTTGACCCTGGCCACTTGACAGAGGCAGGGCTATTTATTTATTTATTTATTTTGAGACAGTGTCTTGCTAACTTGCTGAGCCTGGCCTCAAACTGCTGTTCCTCCTGCCTGTCTCAGCCTCCTGAGTAGCTGGGATTACAGGTGTGTGCCACCCATGCCCAGCTGGCAGGGGTCTTTAGATGCTCCCCTGCCAATATGGTGGGAACTACAGGGTGGGGCTGGGGCCAGACCCTGCTCCCCTTCCTCCCTGCCCAGGTGTCCACATTCAGTCCTCGCAGATCGTGGAGTCAAGTGGCTTATACACCTTGAAGAGTGTTCTGAAGGTACAGCTGGTTAAGGAAGACAAAGATGCCCAATTTTATTGTGAGCTCAGTTACCGACTGCCCAGTGGGAACCACATGAAGGAATCTAGGGAAGTCACTGTCCCCGTTTTCTGTGAGTACTGACCTGTCCGTCTGTTCACTGAAGTGGGCCTGGTGGAAATTCCTGCCAACCTGTTCCCATTCAGCCCAGGGCACCTCTTGGGCTGAGAACAACTCCCTTTGCCTACACAGACCCAGCGGAAAAAGTGTGGTTGGAAGTGGAGCCTGCGGGAATGCTGAAGGAAGGGGATCGTGTGGAAATCAGATGTTTGGCGGATGGCAACCCCACACCTCCCTTCAGCATCCACAAGCAGGTGTGAGGGCTTGGTGTTGGCTGCAGAGTGGGTGCAGGCAGATGCAGATAGAGTGGTTGGGCGGTGCCGCTCACTGCTTCTTCCTCTCCCAGAATCCCAGCACCAGGGAGATGGAGGAAGAAAGATCCACTGACAATGGCCTCCTGGTGCTGGAGCCTGCCCAGAAGCAGCACAGCGGGCTCTACGAATGCCAGGGTCTGGACTTAGAAACCACGATACCACTGTTGAGTGAACCCCAGGAGCTGCTGGTGAACTGTGAGGGGCTGGGGGCCCCCAGGACAGGGGGACTGAGCTGGGGCAAGAGGGAACTGGCCCTGCCCTGTCCTGCCTAGGCTGACACTCTTGCTGTGCCCCCAGATGTGTCTGATGTTGACGTGAGTCCTGCAGCCCCTGCGGGCCAAGAAGGCAGTAGCCTTACACTGACCTGCAAGGCAGAGAGTAACCAGGCCCTCGAGTTCCAGTGGCTGAGAGAAAAGGTATCCAGGTGGATCTGGGGCTGTGGGCAACAGCTTATTCTTTCTGAGACCTTCTGAACGACCTCTCCCCCAGACAGGCCAAGTGCTGGAAAAGGGGCCTGTACTTCACTTTGACCATCTGAAACGGGAGATAGGAGGAGGCTACCGCTGTGTGGCATCTGTGCCCAGCGTACCTGGCCTGAACCGCACACAGCTAGTCAATGTGGCCATTTTTGGTGAGGCCCTTTGGGCAGAGACCAGATCACCCCAAGTCAGGTGGTTTTGAGCTCTTTGGAGCTAGAAAGCCACTGCTGCCCTGGGAGCTCTGGTGGGGAAGGGGAGGCAAGCTTGCTGAGTTTGCTGCCACACCCTCTCCTGCCTCCCCAAGGTCCCCCATGGATGGCATCAAAGAAGAGGAAGGTGTGGGTGAAAGAGAATACAATGCTTAATCTGTCTTGTGAAGCATCAGGACATCCTCGGCCCACCATCTCCTGGAACATCAACGGCACTGTAAGCAGGCCTGGGGCCTCTTCCTCCGCGCTTATTAATCCCTGCCCAGGCCTTGCAGCCATAACCGGAGATCCTTCCACCCACTGAACTGCCTCCTTCTTCACAGGCAAGTGAAGAATACCAAGATTCACAGAGGGTGCTGAGCACTCTCAATGTCCTTGTGACCCCAGAGCTGTTGGAGAGGGGCGCGGAATGCACAGCTTCCAACTCCCTGGGCAGAAACAGCACCATCATCATCCTGGAGCTGGGTGAGGGGCCACATCCCTGCAGAGGATGGCAGGGGCATGCCCAGGCACTAACGTGAGCTTCTCCTAACTCCCTCCCTCTGCCTCCCAGTCAGTTTAACTACCCTCACACCAGACTCCAGCAAAACAGCTGGCCTCAGCACCTCCACTGCCAGTCCTCATGCCAGAGCCAACAGCACCTCCACAGGTAAGCGGGCCTGGCAAGAGAACAGGGCTGTGCCAGGGCACCCTTTCTGCCCTGTCCCCATAGTGGGGAGCAATGTTGAGACAGGTGAGTGGCGGCCCATCTTCTGCCTGCTCTGGGCTGGGTTGGGCAGCAATGGCAATGTGTCAGCCTGGGGCCAGGAGTGACTAGGAGTGGCTTTATGTGACAGAGAAAAAGCTGCCGGAGCAGGAGAGCAAGGGCGTGGTCGTTGTGGCTGTGATCGTGTGTATCCTGGTCTTGGCTGTGCTGGGCGCTATCCTCTATTTCCTCTACAAGAAGGGCAAGCTGCTGTGTGGGCGGTCAGGCAAACAAGAGATGTAAGCATGACAGACCCCTGCTACCCTCCCCCTCTCCTGCTGCCCCGCCTGCTGCCTCCTTAGGCACATGTCATCTACCCCAAGGCCCACTTACCCCTTAGAAGCAAGAGTGGGACCCTGGGTTGGGTATGCCCTGCTTTCCTGCCCAGCACCCACCCCCACACCTTCTTTCATTGCCTGCTTCCTTTCTGAGCTGACCCCAGAGCCCCCAAAGAGCCCACCATCTATCCATCCAAGCATCCTTCCTAGCAGCCCCCGCCCTTTGCCCCTAAGTTGCCAACCTCTCGCCTCCCTCCTCCCAGCACGCTGCCCCCGTCTCATAAGAGTGAATTTGTAGTTGAAGTTAAGTCAGATAAGCTCCCAGAAGAGATGGGCCTCCTACAGGGCAGCAGCGGTGACAAGAGGGCTCCAGGAGACCAGGTAGGAGGCAGTTCCTATGGCCAGTGTCTGATAAATCTTCAGGGATTGGGGGTGCCAGGGACTAATGGTGCTCGTTTCCGAACACTAACTCTTTCTGCCCTTCTTCCTTCTTGGTTGGAGAAAGGGAGCAGGCCCATCTTGCCTACTAAACACTACTTACAGATGGCAGGGTGAGGCAAGTGGCGGAGAGACCCTGTAGAAAGGCTAAGGGCAAAGCCCTGGTCCCATCACCATCACCTTTCCTGAATAAAGCCTGTGGCTCCTGACAGAAGCGTGAAGTGTGGCCTCCATTTCCCCAGTGCAGAGGCAGAATCAGGGGCTGTCTGTCCTTCCTTGCTCCCCATACCCACCCCAGCTTCTTCCCTCCGAGATGCTGCACCAAGTTCATCAGCTTCTGCTTCAATTCCTCCCTCCTTCTTCTTAGTGATCTCACCTTGAACTCTGCTAACTGTCTCCATGTTTCCCTCTCTTCTACCCATTTTTAGGGAGAGAAATACATCGATCTGAGGCATTAGCCATGGAATCACATTGGCTCTCTCCTCACCTGGACAGTTTCTGGCTCCCTGCTCACTCTTTTCCCCAGCCAAAGCCCCCAAAGGGACTACAGAGAAGACCCCTGCTCCAGCACACCTACAGATCCATTCTAGAGGGCTATGGGCTAGGGCCAGAGCCATCCCAAGAAGGACCTCACTTGGCCCTGGAGGCCCCCTTTTAGGGCCCAGTCCACCTCTATCTCCACTTATGTGATGTTCAGAAGAGGCCTCAGTTCCCCACAAGTGACTGAAGTTTCTTGTAGAACATGTTTTCTCCTTAAATATGCTATAGCTATAAATACCTGTCTTCTACCAGCCCCCATCCGAGCTGGTTTTCTGCCTACCCCCGCCAGGCTGGCTTTGGTAATTCATTTGTACCCCTGACATGAGAAGGCCCAGGTGCCTGTTCACTGTCACAGAATGTCACTTTTGCTGGCTCTGGAGAGTACGCTGTAGTATCCGGAAGCAATGGCAGAGTCGCTGCTATAACTTCCTGCCTGCCGCTCTTGTGACATTTTCTCTTCGGGCACAAATCAGGAACTGGTGTTATTTCCTCAAGAATGTCCTGCAGGGAGGAAGCCGGGTGACATTCCTGTGAAGACGTCTGAGCCTGAGCCCCTGCATTTACATGGCTCCCAGTGCCCTCAAAGGATCATGTGAGACTGAAAGATGAGAGATGGAGGGAGAGAGATGAGGTGACCTGTCCTTTATGGGGATTAAGGCCATAGTTATATTATCACCAGATTTCTATAAACTGAGCTAATGGGCCTAGACTCTACAAGGGCCCAATAGGAGAATGGTACTTAGGGATGAAAAAACCAGGGGCCTGGCTAGAGCTTTGGGGGGTGTATGAATGTGTGTGAGTGTGTGTGTGTGTGTGTGTGTAGTCACATGCATGCTTGCTCATGTGGTTTTGTTGTATGTAAATCTGCAAATTATGTGTGTGTGCATGCGTGTGTGTGTGTGTGTGTGTGTGTGTGTTTGAGAGAGAGAAAAATAAAGCTTAATTGTCCTGGAAGTTGTGCAGTGCTTTCTATTCATCATGGGTACCACAGGTACCTGGGGTTTCTCACCTGCACCAAAAAGAACACAGAACCCTTTGCAGCTGCCAGTGGAGACCAGGGTTTCTTCTGGTTCCAGTTCTGCCCCAGAGAGGCTAGCCCCGCCATCTCTCAGCAGCATGTGGGGCCTGGCAGACTGCTGGCCAGGGGCTGTATCTGATTCTGGGTGCTGCCCTCAAGGCAGCAGAACCCACCTCAGTATCTGGTCATATATTACCTCCCAAATGAGCAAGAACTCGAGTCTGCTACAACAAAAGAAACTTTATTTAAAAATACTTCTTTTACAGACATGGGTGCTTGAAAAGCTCTTTAGTTAACTGTGTATGGAAATGAAAAAAAATTAATAAATAACATTAGTATAACAGACCTCTAAATATTAATACATTGGCAAAACAATGGACTTAAAATGAAAATGAATCTTAAAGCTCTGCTATTCTCTGTAAGAATATTTACCTTCTGTTTTTTCTTGTTCTTTACAGGTGAGGATGATTAAATACTGCTAATATATTTTTTTTTATATTAATGACACATTTTTAAAATAGTCCACAAAAATCTTACCTAAGTGTCTGTTTTGTTTTCTTAACACTGATATACAAATTGGGACTCTTCATTCTAGAGAAAACATCAAGTTCTCTCCAGCCCCACCCAGGTCAAGAATTTCAAAATCTTGAATAAGGAGGATTTTATAAAGAATTGTTTCTATCTCCCAATTCTTTATTAGTTAAAGGCAGGGAAGAATTGAGGAAACGATAAGTAAAATGTCACTATATAGAAAACTTCCTCCTGCTGAAACCTATTATGATAATAATACCGACAGGCTTCTGGTACACATTCCTTGCTGCCCTTCTCTGGGGAAAAGCAGACCTTGTAGAGGGCACTAGCTACTTAATGCTTTTAAGTTTAAAGACTTCAAATGAAAGGAAATCCAAGTCTGAGGAAGAAGCAGGAGGTCTAGGCTGGCTCAGGATCCAGCAAAAAAGAAAAAAAAAAAAAAAAAGAACTGCCTCCCCTTTTCAGGAGAGTCCACTTCTCCATATGCAACAGGGTCATTGATATGATCAGGGGACTGGGGCACTTGGAATGGTCCAGAGTATATCTGGAAATTGTGGAACATTTTGTCTCTTGCAAGAGACAAAGCATTCAATCTGATAACTAAGCTGCTGATTGGAACCAAACAAATGATCCCAAGTACAATGCTGCTCTCTTCCAAAAAAGCCTCATGATAGAGCAAAGGGACCACAGGCATACTGTATCTTGTGTGCCACATCTCCAGCCACAGAGAGACTCTTCCTATTCCCTGGACTCTAGGGCTAAGGATACTCAAGGTAGAGGAGCTCAGACTCGGGCATTTCCATATTAAGTCCTAAAATGCAGCCTTGGATACAGTGCTGCCTTAGAAAGGCACAAAACGTTTGGCTTTTTTTTTTTTTTTTCAGTGTGCTAAAAATTGTTTTGAATAAAGGAAAAAGATATATAAGGTTAAAAATCCCAAGTAACCACAGCCAGAAAGCAGATGTAGGAGGTACCTCATAGCTGCCATGCCCTGCCACATGTTTCAGCAGGAAGTTGGGCTTGTCATTCAAGGCCAAGACACTAAAACAGTACTGAGCAGGGTAGGTCAGGAGCCATCTCCTCTCCACAGGCATTGCACTATAGGCTCGTTCACCCCAACAACAGGACAGGAGAGAGAGAGGCCATGGGAGAGAACACATGGTTTACAGACTCAAGTAGTTCTCTGCCTCTTCAGTTTCAAGACAGCCATAAGCATGGCTACCCTCACCCACTATGGGGTCAGAGGTAGGCAGGAAGGAAGAAGTGAAACAGGCACCCAGCACTCCCACTTCAGGGCCTGTGCAGGGAGGCAGTGCAAAGCCTGAGGAGCTGCTTGCAGAAGTGCTGAGCAATCATCTTCTCTGGCCTTCCATCGGGTTCAGGGTAGGAAAAAAACCTGTGCAAGGCAATGTGGAGGGTTGCCACTCACATTCTCTTTTGGGACTGAATCAGGATTACAAAGCCAGGTGATCAGAACTCTGCTGATTTGTTCAGCTGCCAGATCAGGAGATCTGAGGCTGGCTTCCAGCCTTGACTCTGTAAAACACAGGGAGTGGTCAGCCACATTTTTCTCAAACACTATACTAGGGAAAGGGGTGGCAAGATCTCCAAACAGCTGTTAGTCTGTTAGTCAACAGCTGGCCCTTCTGCCTGGGGGCTTTCCATTTGACGCTGAATGAATGTGCAGGGTCTGCTCTCTCCATCCCTATTTCTCCATCTCTTCCTCTTTTACTACTTTCTAGAACCAAGGAATACTGATTCTTCTTCCCTTTGGAACAACCCAGATTTCCTGGGACACTGTGAAGGCACATGGCACTACTGTCCCTCTAACCCTTAATTTAGGAGCCTAGACTAGACTATCAAACACAAAATCTGGTGACCTACCCTTCCATGTGCCTTGATGTATGTCTTTGGATCATTAGGTTACTTCTGTGTATATCAAATGACTCTGGTAGTTTAAAAAAGTTATAAGCAAGGCATATAAAATGCCTTACAATGCAAAACAGGCTCAGGATGGGAAAAACAACAGATCCAGGCAAGGTGAAGCAAAGTTTTTTTTTTTTTTTTTTTTTTTAAAAAAAAAAAAAAGCTTTAATATAAAGGAAAACAACTGGACAGGGAAATACATCCTATCTAAGGAGCTTGCAGTAGAAGCTCTATACTACACTGGAATCTCTATATCCTGGAAACATCCCAACTCTCACCCATTTTTACTGGCTCCAGCAAAGCAGTTTCTGAGGTGCCTAGGAACAACACTGTAGAGCTCCCTCACACAGGACAACAAGGAAGAGGAGAAGAGGAGATGCAAGATAGCCAGGAGCTCACAGGATGGATAGATACTCAACACTAAAACCTGAAGAGTCTACAAACTCAAGGGTAGTAGCTAAGTGGAATCGTGATCTGTTCTCAGTGACATGAAAGAAGGCTGAAGACCTGAGGTTGAAGGGTGGCTAAGAAATGCCACCTAGGAACAGACTAGCATGCCCTCAAGAGGGAGGAAAAAAATCTTGGATGCCAAGACTCATAAGAAGAAGAAGAGTAAGAAATAAAGAAGAAACAAAGACAGTGAGCAGAATTAAAGTGATTCTAAGGATTTGCTCGATGACCCAGACACCTTCTGATGCCTGTCTTCCCACTCTCAAAAAAGCAGGACAACAGCAGCTTTACCACTGGAGTAGAAGTCCCTAGCTCTGCTGCTGCTGCCATTTGCCACACTTTCCTGTTCTTCCTGAAGGCCAAATGGTCAAGGATGGACATCTGATCAACATGCTGGGCTGAGTTTATTCTTTCTTAAGAATATGAACTAAGAGGAACTGGGAATCTGTTCATGGTTGTGGTGATCCCTAGAGCTGGAGGGTCACAGGGACTTGAGGACTGGGGTGCCTATTTGGAGGCTATCCATGCAAACAGGCTATGAAGCAGGAGGGACCATGCAAGAATCAACTGTACTTCCTATCCTGGGTTCCATAAAAATATTCTGCATCCTTATCACTGACTTCCTCCTTTCTTTACCTGGAATATTTCTTGTATCCAAAGGATCCGTAACCAGGAAAGTTAAAATACAATCTCAACCTGGTTCCACCATCTGCCCTCCTTCATGAATTAAGTGGTTATGTGCATTTCCTAAAGAAAGATTGCTAATGTAGAGTAAGATCAAAGTTGTAATAGAAATGTTTTAGGTGAAGTTAGAATACTTTAGATTGAATTTTGAAGTGTTAGGGTTTAGGAGAATAATAAGGTGTTGATACTAAGCTCTGACATCTCTGTGGTTCCCTGCTCTGAAGGAAAGGCTGATACAGAGCACTGAGTCCAGTCTGTACTACTGACTGGCTCTCAGAAGACCTCACAATCCACTGAAAATCAGGATCCAAAGACAGATGCCTCCTACCTCCACCCCTTCAATGACATGGAATTAGCTGCAAAGGCCGCTGAAGGATTGGAAAACAAATCCCCAGTAGTAAGGGATGGTAAAAGGTAACAGAAGGCTAAAAGAGAAACCTTCGCAAGAATGGGGATTAGGGACACAAGCAGCTCAGTAAAAAGATCAAAGAAGGCACTAGATTGAAAAGGGGCTGCGGGCAGATCCTTTGCTTAAACATTTAATGCCCTACTATACAACTCTAAGCCAACATACCTCTTAAGCCAAATAGATTCCACTGAAAGACATAACAAAGGTGGGTATACATGAAACTCAGACCAAGGAATCTCCTCAATATTATAAAAGCTATAGGAAAACAACAGGGATTTCAGGGGAAAGTCTTAGACTGATTTTAACCAGCACAGATCTTTAAGAATAGTTGTCTGCATAAAAGCTGTGAATAAAATTGTACAATCTTATTTGGAGGAGATATTTTAGGATCAAATTCAAGTGCTAGATAGCCTGAAGTACAATCCCTCAACATCAGTAGACTACCATGTGGTGGAAGGGAATAACATATAGCTGACATTCCTGGTGCATGCTAATCACCCAAACATTTGCTGAGTGAACAACTGAACTGCTATAACCAGGGCAGTATTCAGTGGACAATGGTCATTCCAGAGTCAAAAAGACCAACAGCAAAAGCAAAATATAAGGTCAGTAACCTTCTAACTTTCATGACATGAGGTAGGAAAATATTCTGCATTAACACCACTGCTAATCACGTACAAAAAACTCTAGATCTTGTTAAAGGTGTCTTAAAGCTGATCCCTAGTTTGCAAGAAAGTTGTTACAAAAATTAATTTGTAAGTTGCTTTTGGGACCATAAGACACATTTTACTTTTCTATAAAGGAGTAAATAAGTATAAAGAATAGCAACCCCCCCCCTTTTTTTTATCCACAGAACAGCTAATGATACTAATAGTATCCCACATCTCGGACTCTGGCAATGAGAGTCTGTCTACAAAGAGAAAGAGAACAGAAAAAAAAAAAAAAAAAGGCAGAATATATAGGGTGGGATTGTGGAGAGAAAGAGAAGACTAGTACAGGAGAATAGCCATGCACAGGTAGAGATCAATATTTAAATAAATATTAACAGATACATGCTGAGATGAGTCTATTATTTAACTAAAGGGAGGTATATTATAGAGTTCACTTAAAACCCTTTCATTTTAGTAGAAGGAACATGGGAGAGGCAGCTGGAAAAGTCCAGTCACAGTACCTGGAAGACCTAGCAATGAGGCAGGCTATGTAAAGCAAGTCAGGAAAATGTGGGGAAAACAGGAAATTAGGTTGAATAGAATGGTTTAATTAATTTGATAAAAAGGAAAACATTAAAGTGGGTCTCCTGACCATATTGACTATATGTAATTAGGAGATCTTGCCAACATGGGAAAACTCAAAAGCCTGAAAGGGCAATTTTAGTTAAATTCAGAGCAAGTGCCAAAGAATTAAAAATTACCATATGAATGGAGGATAAGAAATGGTTAATGGTGCCTTATTCAAAAGAAAATGTAAGAAATTCAAGTTTTGAGACTATTTTGAAAACAAGAGCCATGTGAAAACCTTCCTGAAGCTTACCTGGCAATTTCAGGCACAAGCCCACATATGTCCTTAGAACATCCAAAGGATAGGTCCTCATGTAATGGTTCAAAGCCTTCAGTGTCTGCAGATACACACCTGACAAACTAAAACTACCCAAGCCAGTCAACAATGCATGTGCTCCACCAGCAACCTAGACACTTTTTTCAGGGCTGACTTGAAGAGCTACACAGGTGCTCAGGAAAATAAAGGATGAAATGACCCTTAGTCTAGCCAGTATGAGCAATAACCTCCACAGAAGATGTGAATACACTGGACAGGCAAAAGAGATGCAGTGACTGCTTGGTTTTCTTGACAGATCTTGACTATGGACAGTAGCTGTAGAGAAAGAAGAATTACACCATGGACAGGCCTGGAAACTGTTGTCTTTTTTTCTAGTTCTTTGTCTAGTCCTTCAATAGTGAAACAAAATGCAAAATGAATGTTGTCAGTTTTTAGAAGAGGATGGTAGACTACTCTTTGCCACTCAGTACCCACTTTCCCTGCCTCCCTCCACCCCAGAGTAGGGCCTCCTGCACCTGCTGGTGGGCTATGCAAATCAATATGAGGTCCTGTACTAGAGTTTGCTCTGCTCCAGAAATATAAATAGTTCAGGGATAAGAGGACAAAAATAAAAGATCTAGAAGTAGCTGGATACCAAGAGAAGCGTTAGTAAAGGTTTCAGTTCCAAAGATGCCAAGAATGGAAAGAAAGCAGGTTTAAGGCGAGCCATTTTTGTCTGAACCTAACGACAAAAGCAAGATTTAGATCCCAAGGAAGGTAATTTATCCAAGAGCAGCCTTGCTTATGACATGGAGGAAGGATACCACCATTAGGGAAGTCAGCAAAAGACTCAGGACAGAGAACTGAACTCAAGGGGCCATAGAGCACTATCCACAGGAACTGAAGAACAGGACTCCCAACTGGACACCTAAGCTTCTTTATGAACTTGCAACTACATAAACTGCCAGCTCTTCCCCATATTGTCTTTGAATAGAGTCATTTTTTTGTAATGAATGATGCCTATTTACTATAAAGCATATACCTAAGGGGAAAAAAAAAGGGAAGAGAGGAAAGAGACATTTCATTCCCTAGCCCTAGACACAAGAGAAAACCAAGTCACTGGGCAGCACCAAAGTAGGAAAGATGCTGATTATCAGCAAAACACTGTGCTACCATAGGTGGTATCCCTACTCCTGAAAGGGCAAAGATAAAAGCCATTTTGGAAAATCTAACCTGGCTCATGCTCAAAGGGAGAAATGTAAAACATAATATAAGCTGAAATTAATGCACGAGGAAGAAAAACTGAACAAATAAATCCAAATCCTTACTATCTATTTTGTGCATCTAAATAGCATGTGAATGAAGCTTTCTAAAAACTTTGTGGTATTAGGGCCAGAAAATTATCCTGGAAACAAATGTTCTTCCCTTTCCATTAAGTAGAAAGACTCATGACCTATACCAGGACACACACCTGGCACCAAGGCAACGGACTCCCCCAGACTATTTTCTGGGGAGGACATGGAATGTATTTGAAGGCCTCTATCTCAAATTAGTCATTATGTAATTAGGATAGTTCAAACATTTTATTTTAACAAATTCAATGTTCCTATAGAAATAGTGCTTTGGAGTGACCAGTGTTAGCTCCTAGTGTCAAACAAAACCATAACAACGTAGCAACAGTACTCTCTCTCCCAAACACCATCACATGTAATAAGGAACATCCTATAAAAGCTGCTTAGCCTCAGGAAGGCTGGCCACAGCAAGCCTGCTGACAATGACAGAAAACCAAGGAGGAGAAAAAAGAAGCTGATAGGGTAAAGAACAGAGCAAAGGGATAGAACAGAGGAAGGGAATTCTAAAAATATGAGCTATGCACATGATAATCTAAGCCAAAGTGGAGTGTTGAAGTTGTAATACACACTAGAGTTAGGGGTAATACCACAGTAGATAGAAGTCTTTAAAAGATTCCTTCCTGAACCTCTTGTGCCAATTCCCCGCCTGGAATTAACACACACAGCAGGATCATCATAATCACAGGACACATACAACCACAGACAGACAGACAGACAGACACACACACACACACACACACACAGAGTCACATCCTTAACCCAGAAAAGTCTTATGTCCTCCGTTAGGGTTTACAGCACAATACCTGTTCTACTGCTTTCTGGACTGTTCCCCCAGGTAGGCTACCATGTAATAAAAATCCACTCACTCTCCTGGTGGGGACTGAAGGACACCTTCAAATGCACTCTCAAGACCAATATAATAATAAAACACACTAGCTGCTCCATTTTCATTCCACTGCTTTGAAATCTTGGAACCACAGGTGTGATACCTACAGAGAGGGCAGGACCTCATTGTGAAGTCCCCAAAGGAGCCTCTGCCCTCCTAGGTGCTCCTTAAGTAAGAGCCTGGCTCGTGGGTCCTCTGAAGCCGCTGCAGGGAGGGATGTGCTAGGTGGCCACATGGGCAGGGGAAGAAATAGAAACAAATTCCCGGAGGATGTTTTTGGCCATTTCAATGTTGTTGTGGGCAATGACCAAAGCTTTCTGAATGTCCTGATAGGAGTAACCCTGACTCATGAGGTTCTCGATCTCACTGGAGAGCTGAGGTGAGGAGGCAGCAGGAGGTGTGGCGGTAGCACTGCCACCTTGCTGACAGCTACCTGCTTTTCGTTCAGAGTTGATTCTCCGAGGGAATGGTTTAGGGGGCCGCTCAGGAACTTGGGAACCCTCAGTGAAGTCTAGAAGAAATAGGAAAGAAATATTTGCAAACCTGGGGGAAATCCTCATTTAATGGCAGTAATAATAGTAACAACAATATATTAATATCAAGATATTACTGACCCCTGTTAATTAGGGGCATGTACTCCCCTGTCACAAAGCTGGGTTTTAGAGGTTAAAAGGCTCTTGGATCTAGCCACCTCCTTATAGTAAGTGCCACCTTCTAAATATACCATGCACCTGTTTTATCAACAATAACTGTTGCTGTGAGCATGTAACATCTGCATCATGATTTATACTTAGCAATGTTTTCACACACATAATCATCTGGATTTTTAAAAATTCTGAATGGATCAGAGCAGATACTAAACTCCTATAAACAAAAAGGCAGAAATTAGCCCAAGTTGCAGTGAAGATGTCTTAAGCCAGGTTGAGTGGTGATCACCACCTGTTTAGGCAACTGGATGCTGTAGATCTTTTCCACCAGCTGTCCTGAAAGCTCTCTTCAACTTCCAAAATGACAGCAACTCTGGCTGCTGCCACAGGTGCTGTTGAGCCCCAACAGTCAAGGCTCAATGTGGGCTGGCTCTTGGCCCATTCTGTGTGTGTTCCAGGGCAGCATGCCTCCTTCCCAGTGGGCCAGGGCCAGGAAAAAGGAATGTGTGGTCTGAACCATCAAGCTTAATTACTTCTGTCACAGGCCTACTCAGAAGAGCTAGAAACCCTACCTACTCCCAGAATGGGAAGAGCCATATTACTTTCATTTCCTACTTTGAGTTCTAGAACCAGCTTTTCTTCCATTTAGACACAGAATTTATTTAGTCTACCACTACTACTTACTGACTTACTGCCATGAGAGGACATCATCTGTTTCAGTATAAATTAGGAGCTAGACAGCAATTCAGGACAGGCTCAAGGGAGCCTGGAGACTCACTTGTCGAGGGATCACCATCCAGAGACAACCAGCCAAAGGAGGAGCTGGCATTAGAGATGTCTGAGAGAGTTCGGCGGGCCAGCACAACTGGCACAGGTGGCTTAGGGACATCATATCCATCATCCTCATTTTCTGATTCTTCAGGGCCAGTGTTGGTGTGGGCTGCAGCCAAATTCCCTTCACCTGGAGAAAAGTTCATAAAATTATCTTCTTCTGACATAACTCAACTTCTAACACATTTTAACCCAGAAGCATCTATTCATTCATGCACACACACACATTTACTTCATTTAATAAGTACTCAATGTCTACGGCAGGCTGGACACCAATATGAGACACTATTGAAGGTGACAGAACAAACAAAAAAATAAAATGTGTACCAATTCTGTAGTTCTGTTGTTGAACCTGTGAAAGGTCACTCTTGTAAGGTTAGAAATTACTGATGCCAAAGACTCAAGTGCAATTTTATAGCAATTCTATCTGCACCTCACCTCAGGAGATCAGCCAAAGCGTCCTATGTTTGCAGGCTTATTTGAACTTTCAACTTGGTAAGCTAGTTAGTATGGGAATTGAGCATGTATCACCCCCACACAAAAAAATTTCATCAATGCAATGGGAATAAAAGAGTCTGCCAGCATTGCAGGTCTAGGCCATATAATTCAAATGTCTCTAGGCCTTGGGAGAACGAAAAATCACAAAAGGAACTAGCTGTGTGGAAAGGATATAAAAAAGGGAGGCGACTGCCCCACCTTGTTTTGCCAAATAAGATTACTTAAAATAGCTGGGCACAGTGGTGCGTGCCTATAATCCCAGCAGCTTGGAGACTGAAGCAGGAGGATCGTGAGTTGAAAGCCAGCCTCAACAAAAGCGAGGCACTAAACAACTCGATGAGACCCTGTCTCTAAATAAAATACAAAATAGGACTGGGGATGTGGTTCAGTGGTCAAGTGCCCCTGAGTTCAATCCCCGGTCCAAAAAAGAAAAGATCTTTAGTAATTTTAGTAATAATTTTCTCTGTAGGTCAAGCTATCTCATTAGTTAAATATTATAGGTTCATTCCTCTAGCACATCACTGATTTTTTTTTTTTTAAAGAGAGAGAGAGAAAGAATTTTTTAAATATTTATTCTTTTAGTTTTCGGCGGACACAACATCTTTGTTTGTATGTGGTGCTGAGGATCGAACCCAGGCCACACGCATGCCAGGCGAGCCCGCTACCGCTTGAGCCACAACCCCAGCCCATCACTGATTTTTAAGTAGCAGAGAAGCAACTCACCAAAGGTGCTGTTCTCAGTGACAGATGGCGCCTGGGACTGAATATTATACATTGCTTCATAGGTACAGCTATCAATCTGCAGGTCACAATCACATACTCTGAACCAGAAATAAGAAGCAAAATGATCTTTGGAAATAAACGTTAACTGCAACCTATTGAGACTACCCTAGACCCTGATCCTCTAAAGACAACATATTCTCCTTGTACCAAAATAACTAGTAAATGTTTTAAGATCAACTCTTGTTACAAGTTACAGATAATTAGTGTTTTGGAAGTTACTGTGATACTAATGTAAGTGGAACTGTTTATTGCTTCAAGAGACTTTAGGGACCAGATTTATCTTTCTGCTGTTACTTCTGGCTGGCTAACAGTACATACAAGTAGCAAGTGAAGCAGGTGAGGGATGTCAACTGAATTATCCATATAAAGGTATCTGGCCCTACATGGTTGTTGTGAACTTACCGTGAACTCTGGGTTGCCTCCAAAGGCCATTTTGGTTCTGGCTTTTGGAGCCCTATTGGCCTAGAAGAGGGAGTCATATATTCTGTGTCCTCCTCATTCTCACCCTGCTCCCCAGGTGGCAGTTTTGGCACAGGAAGAGGTCTGGAAGATAAATTTTTTAAAAAAGAAAAAAGAATCAATAGCTGGAAAAGTTTCCAATATGAAATAAACAGTTTCAAAACAGACACAACTCAAATTTGACAGAACAAATACATGCCATCTAAGAAACTACTGTTTCTACTGGTAAGATAGGAGATTAGCAAAAAGCACACCAAAAACACTATGCTCAAATGACCAAAGGTGTGGCTCTTATGTTTTGAGATGTGTCACATTGAGATAGATACCTAAGTTACGGCCATACCACCAGTTAGTTCCAACCTCCAAATAAGTTCCATCATAGTGTCTCAGTTTTAAAGCTACTACCTTAGTTTTTCTTTCACTGGGTGTGAAATAAGAAATGGCAGGTGGCATTTCTTCACATGCTAGGAATGTATATCAAATTCTAATTCTCAAGTCTACCCATGGTTTCAAAGAATACATAGCTTGTCCAAATCTTTCTCACATATTACCTTAGAATATAAATACTTTTTCTCTTCAATATTTGACATAAAAAAAAATCTAAAATAAAAAGAGGAAAAAAAGTAACTTGGTAGTTAACCATCAATTTTGGGACTAGATCCCAAGTTTCTGATTTCAGGGATCTTGGTCTTACATTTAACATACATAATTCTTTACCCAGAAGCTTTTGAAACAAAATTGCCATCCTACTCTATGAAAGAAGACAAAACACCAATCAATTTTGTGTAAGAAACACACACTGCTGGGCACAGTGGCACCCACCTGTAACCCCAGTGACTTGGGAGACTGAGGCCTTAAGCAACTCAGTCAGACTCTGTCTCTAAATAAAATTTAAAAAGGGCTGGGGATGAGGCTCAGTGGTTAAGTGCCCCTGGGTTTAATTCCCAGTACTCCCCTGGCTCCCAAAAAAGAAACAGACACACATACAAATTGCCTCTTAGAGTATGAATTTGAGTTTCTCCTCTCTTTTTCTTTACACCTTTTGTTAGCATATTCTAAATTCTCTACAAAGACTACCTCTTGCATTTATTTGTCTCTCTTTATTTAATGTTTAATTTTTCCAATCAAATCTCATGTGAGATTTTTTCTTATGTCTACCTACCACTTTTATTGTTGAAAAACTTCCCTTACGTATGCCTCGTAAAAATTCAGCAAATATTCTCTTAAGATTTATACAATGCATGCTGAAGACTTAAGCAGAAGTGTGCTAGTATCTACAATTTGCTTTGAAATACACAAACAACCAAGAGAGAGCAATGGATGAAACACAGATAATGTGATAAAGAAAAAAAATACTAAAATTTGAATTCAGGTGGTGGGTTCAGTCTAGGATTCTTTCACTTTTATTCTGTTTGTAATTTTTTTTTTCCTTTTTTTTTTTTTGGTGGTACTAGGGATTGAACCCAGGGGCACTAAACCACCGAGCCACATCCCTATCACCCCCCACTTTTATCCCCTGATTTAAGACAGGATCTCCCTAAGTTGCTTAAGGACTAACTAAGTTGCTGAGGCTGGCTTTGAACTTGTGATCCTCCTGCCTCAGCCTCCTGAGCAGCTGGGATTACAGGCATGCACCACCACGCCTGGCTCAGTTTGTAATTTTTAACAAGTGGAAAAGACCAAGTGTCAGTAAAAGTGTAAGGAAATAAATGAGTATATATAGCTGTAGAAACAAGTTGTTACAACTTTTCTGTAGTATGATTCAACAAAAGCACTTCATCACATGTGCATCCTGGGTCTCAGAAATTCCACTTCTAAGAGTTTTCCCTTGGGAAGCAATCAAGAATACTCATGACAGCATTACTTATAACACCGGGCGGGGTGCGGGGGGTGGTACAACCTACATATCCAATAATAGCGTACTGAATAAGTAGACTTTGACCCACACAGAGAGTAAGAGAGCTGGTGCCAATTGCTGGCTCTTGGGGCATTTAGAGGTTTTACTCAGGACCTAAGAGGCTACAGCCTACTTCTGCTTCCACTACCATAGACCTATCCTTATCTTACAAATCAGGGTTCCCCTAGAGTCAGTCACACTGCTTGAAAATAATCTAAAATAATTTGAAAATCAACATAGAAGAAGAATATGTAATGACATGCAAAAATGTCCAAATATGTCTAGCGAAAACCAGCCTCAATGATGATTCCATACACATAAGAATAACAAAGAACATACATCAAATTGTGAATAATTACTATTTGACTCTAGGTAAAATAAGATTACAGATAACTCTTATTCCTTCAGTATTGCTTATCTATGTTTTCTAAAATTAACAAAAAAGAAGTCCTATTAAGAGAGCTATCCAAAAATACTTTAGGGCTGCGGTGTAGAGCTCAGTAGCAGAGCTCTTGCCTAGCATGCAAAAGACCCTGGGTTCTACCCCCAGCACCCCTTCCTCCCATCTCTTTGATGAAGTTCATAAAAGTATAAAATGTATTTCCTTGTCACAAAGTATTTTGGCAATATATACTTTAAAAAAAAGTACTGGAGAGCAACCAGGAAACCAGAACTTCAGAGACCGAGATTCAAGAATACAGGCTGGGGTTGTGGCTCAGTGGCAGAGCGCTTGCCTAACACATATGAGGCACTGGGTTTGATCCTCAGCACCACAAAAAAATAAATAAAATACAGGTATGTGTCCATCCACAACTAAAAAAAAAAAACATTAAAGACGACACCAATGACGATACGATGACAACGATGATGATGACACTGAAGCAACCCTCAAATTTGGAGTTCTGAATTTGGGATTTGAAGTAGATCTCAATGGATTAGGGAGAGAGACTGGAATTTTGAGGTGTCATGACAACCAAGATGTGGGGAGCCAAAAATCCTCAGTGTGGCTCAGCGGTAGAGCACTTGCCTAACACATGTGAGGCACTGGGTTCGATCCTCAGCACTGCATAAAAATAAATAAAATAAAAGCATTGTGTCCATCTACAACTTAAAAAAAAAAAATCCCAGGGAAGGAAACAGCAAAGAAGTAGGCCTAAAATTCTGCCTGTAATTTCCTAAAGCTATTACTAATCCCTAAACTCTTCATGCATGGGGCTAGATTCTGAGAAATCAAGCGGGTAGTCGTGAGCAACTGAAGAGCCAAGCAGTTACTGTGGTCGTCTTGCTAATCTCTAGAGACAGAGCTACAGTTATCAGATACAGCCTTTAAAATAATTATAATTCATATGTTCAAGAAACAAGATAAAAGAGAATGGAAAATATGCAAGCAAGCCTATAATGAGCGGTAGAAGATAGTGAAAGAATCTGATGATGTTCAAGAAATTAGAGGCCCAGATAAAGAAAGATTACAAAGTTCAATCTGTTTTAAGAAATATTGGCTGAGAGATAGGTGTGCTGGTACAGGCCTATAATCTCAACTACTCAGAAGGCTGAGGCAGGAGGTTTGCAAGATCAAGGCCAGTCTCAGCAATAGAGTGAGACCCTGTCATAAATTTTTTTTAAAATGTAAAAATGGAACTCAGTGGTAAAGCACCCCCTGGGTTCAATCCCCAGTTCTACCAAAAAGAAAAAAAAAAAGGTAAAGTTGGACGTGGTGGCATGTGTTGAAAACCCAGCTTATGCAGAAGGCTACAAGTTTGAGGCCAGCCTGGGAAACTCAGGAAGATGTTGTCTCAAAATAAAACATAAAAAGGGCTGGGCATATATAGCTCTATTCTAGAGCACCATGGGTTTAATACTCAGTACAGGGGGAGGGGGTGCAATGAAGATATTTTCAGTCAAACAAAATTTGAATCAACTGATAGAAGAGCATTAAACACACAATCACACACGTAAGCACACACACACACTAAAGGAAGTTTTTTAGGGAGATGGAAAGCATTCAGAGAACAGCAGGAACAAGTAAGGAGCACTGTAGGATAAATCCAAGAGAAATTTATTTATTTATTTATTTTTTTAATATTTATTTTTTAGCTTTCGGCGGACACAACATCTTTGTTTGTATGTGGTGCTGAGGATCGAACCCGGGCCGCACACATGCCAGGCAAGCGCGCTACCGCTTGAGCCACATCCCCAGCCCCCAAGAGAAATTTAAATGTCCAGAAGTATCAGGAGACACTGATTTAAAGCACATTCTAACAAATCAAGAGTACATGTTGGAATCTCCAGGATAACTTTTTTTTTTTTTTGGTATCAAGGACTGAACTCAGGAATGCTTACCACTGAGCTATACCTTTTCATTTTTATTGTGAGATAGCGTTTCACTGTCAATTGCTCAGGCTAGCCTCAAACTTGTGATCATCCTGCTTCAGCCTCCCAAGTTGTTGGGATTACAGGTGTATACCACCATGCCCAGCTCTCCAGAATAAATATTAAAAGAATAACCGAAGGGATGAAATGGCTAAGAAAAAACCTTTAATTCAAAAGAAAGTAAGAAAAGACAAAAAAAGGAACCAAGAAAAGATTAGAAAAATGGGGAGAAGAGTAAGAACAAATATTCTGATTACCTCAAGATCAAAAATGCCAGACTGGATTTAAGGGAAGAAAAACCCAAAATATACTGCTTGCGGGAAACATACCTTAAAGGTCATAGAAAAATTGAAAGTAAAAGAGTAGAGAAAGGTCATAGAAATACTAACTAAAAGACAGCTGATGTAAGCCATTTTAATTAAGAAAAAGCAAACTTAAGACAAGCAAGAAACAGAACTATTGAGTAAACAATAGATTTAAGGATAATAAAAATGCTCACTATTTACTATAGATAATTTTAAATTTCTATTATTACACAAACTAAATACACATGTAATAAAAAAGGAATGAATTAAAAGGAACAAAGAGAAATTCACAATTATAGAGGAGAATTCAACAAACAAACTCATTTCAGTTATCTGAAAATATAGAATAGGTAGATTGTTAAAAATCTGAGTAATAAAAGATTTGATCACAACTTCACTAACATGTACAGAATGCTATACCCAACAACTGCAGAATATACAATCTTATGAGATAAAGGTGACACATATTACTGGATCTTACCACAAACTAGTCAGTAAAGAAGATGGTCTCTAACCACATTAGAAAGAAGCCAGAAAGCAGAACAGAAAAACCGAAAATCTTTAAATATTTGAAAATTGGGTAACACATAAATAACTCAAGAATTATTAACAACAGAAAAATCATATATTTTGAACTTAAATGAAAATGGAGGCTGGGGTTGAGCATTAGGTTTGCTTCTCAGCACCAAATTTAAATAATAAAGGTCCACCAACAATTAAAAAAATATTTAAAAAAAATAATGAAAATGACATCAAAATTTGTGGAATGCAGCTAAACACTTGTTATGAACTGTATGTTTGTGTCCTTCCCAAAATTCACATGTTCAAGCCCTCATACCCAGTACAGTTATATTTGAACATGGAACCTCACTAGAAACTGACCCCCTAATCCCAGATTTCCAGCCTCCAGAATTGTGTATCTATCATTTAAGCTAGAAATAATATTTGTGTAGGTAATCAATTTTCTTAAATCTTTTTAGAATTATTTAAACAGTAAATAAATCTCCACTGTTTAAAGCAACCAGTCTTTGGTATTTTGTTATGGCAGCTCAAGCAGAATAACACAGAATCCTGGGGCTGGGGATGTGGCTCAAGTGGTAGCGCGCTCGCCTGGCATGCGTGCGGCCCGGGTTCGATTCTCAGCACCACATACAAACAAAGATGTTGTGTCCACCGAAAACTAAAAAATAAATATTAAGAAATTCTCTCTCTTAAAAAAAAAAAAACCACAGAATCCATTTCATGATGCTAGAAAAATAGCAAATTAAGCCTGAAGAAAGTTGGAAGAATAAGATAAAAGAGCAAAAGCTTGGAACAGTGGCAGATGCCTGTAGTCTTAGCTATTTGGGAGGCTGAGGCAGGAGGATCATTTGAGCTCATGCGTTTAAGACCAGCCTGGACAACATATTGAAACCATATATTTAAAAGAAAAAGAAGAGGTGGGGCATGGAGAAGAGGTGGGGCATGGTAGTACATGTATGCCTATAAACCCAACTACTTGGGAAGCTAAAGTAGGAAGATCACAACCTCAAGGCCAGCCTGGGCACCTTAGTGAGATCTTGTCCCCAAATAAAAAATACAAACTAGGGATGTAGCTCAGTATGCAAAATCCTAGGCTCAATGCCCAGAACTGGAGGGGAAAAAATTAGAAAGTCAGAAAGCAATGACACAGAAAACCGACACCCAGCAAGAATTTTTTTAAGAAAAATCAACAGAACCAAAATTGCTTCCTTGAAAAGATACATGTGACAAGCCCAGCAAGAATGATCTATAAACACAGTAAAAAGAATAGAAAGACAAATTCCAAAACAAAACATGATGACTTCTACACTGTACAAATACAGAGGAATTTTTATTTCCCTCTACACTTTTCTGGATTTTCTACAAACGAACAGTTTAAAAGTACTAACTCCAGTGAATGAAATACAGCTTTAATAAACTTACCTGGCAGCCAGAGAATAAATGGCACTGGCAGAAGAGGAAGGTTTGATTTTGGGGTGTTCACACTCTGGACCTGCTAATGGGCTGCTATTCATACTCTGGAAAGTAAAGAAAGTGTTGAAAAGAATCTTCATAGGATAGCTAAGTATGTCCTCTTACTGAATCTTTTCAAAATCACAAGAATGATAATACAAACAGGGACCTCACTAATCAAGCCATGCTTACAGGTTATCACCTCTGACAAAAACATCATTGCTGTCAGGCTTTGAAGAACTTTTAAATGTAAGGGAGAGGGAGACAGATTTCAAAAGAGCCAGAGAAATAGATTGTTTTAATTCTAAAATGATTTAAGAAAATTGCTTATCTATACAAATATTATTTCTAGCTTAAATGATGGATACACAAACTCAAAATGGTCATTCAGTATTGATACCACCAGAAAGTCACAACTATCCATTCTAATTAGACTGCCAGGCACACAGGTACCACTTAAGTATTACTTGGTTACAAGTATCTTTCCTGACAACCAAGAAATAGTCAAGTGCCAAGACATTTCACAACTCCATCCTTCCCATTTTGTCTGTTCAGATTTCCAACCACCTAATCACTTCTATCAAATGTCCATCTCAGCTGAGGTGTGTGTGAGGCCCTGGGTTTAATTCTCAGCACTGCATAAAAATACATAAATAAAATAAAGGCTCATCAATATCTAAAAAAAATTTTAAAAAAGGTCCATTTCAAATTCAACATGTCTCTTGTTACCAGTTCCAAAACCTTGGAGTACACGTGCATGTGATTTCTTGCCTTTTCCACATACTGCTAGCTTCCTGATTTACGCCTATTTCGTGCTCTCTAAAGGCTCCACCTAATCTGGCTGCCACTTCTGTTCAGAGACAATGACTATTCCACTTGTTTGCTTGGTACCATCTATATTATACTCCTTTATTTATATACATATACACTCACTCACAGTTGTCTGTGGACCTTTATTTTATTTATTTATATGTGGTGCTGAGAATCAAACCCAGTATTTCACACATGCTAGGCAAGCACTGAGCTATAATCTCAGCCTATATCCCTTTATTTTTTAAACATACCCTTTCAAACTCACTTCTTCTCCTTTCATCCTGGAATGGTCTTCCCTCAGGATCACCTTCCTACTGCTCAGTTCTTTGCTAAGAATTATACCCCACCCCATCCTGTACCATCTACCTCCACTCAACTCTCTCTATATAGTCTTCTTTGAGCTGTTCTTTTCCATGGCCCTTATCATTACAAACTTACTATATATTTTACTCACTTGTTTATTTTATCTTTCTCTGGCTAGAAAATAAATCTGTGAAAGCAAGATCTTTTTTCCCGGGTGCACAAATGAACCAATAAATTACAAATATTCCTCCTCTCCCATCCCCCAGCTCCAAACCCCTTATTGAATGCTTAGACAAAGGATTATTAACCTGTCTTTTTTCTAATCTACTTTGCAACCTACTATTAGATTATTCTCTTTAATCCATCATTTTGGTCACATCATTGCACTAATTTAAACCTTTAAATGTTCTCATTTCCTATGAAATAAATTCAAATTCTTTTGGGAGTATTCAAGACCTTATAATGTAGTGTTATTGCTCCATTCTAGCCCTTTCTCCTGATCCAATATACACTTTCTGCTCTACATATCATTCCACAATATGCCTTAAGCCTTTCTGTTATACTTCTGATCTATCTTGAAACTATATTCAGACCAGATCCTAATACTCCCATGCCTTAGGCATGTATAATGAGTTTTGCTTGTTCTTTTTTCCTGTAAAAAACTACCAACCCCCTCCCCACCAAAAAAAAAAAAAAAAAAAAACAACAATAACAAAAAACAACTAGCTGGGAGCATTGGTGCATGCCTGTAATCCCAGCAGCTCAAGAGGCTGAGAGCAACCTAGGGAGACCTTGCCTTCAAAACATACACACATACATACGGGCTGGGAATATGGCTCAGTGGTGAACATATACATTTCCTGAAAACAGGGATTATGTTTTATTACCTGTTATTCTGTACAAAGCCTATCAAAAAACTTAGATCTATAAAATGATACTCACAGATATTTGTTAACTATATAAAATAAAATAAATAAAACTAGGCTAAATAAAACTAGGGCTCACCATGGAGGTATCCAGACTGAATGTGCTTCCAAGCCTAGGCCCATCTGCTCTGGCCTCCATTTGTGATGGCAAAGAAAATGGAAGTGAGTGCCGGTTGGTTAATTCTCTTCCTGTCCAGGGGTCACTAGGGCTCGGAGTAGCTACTGGTACTTTGGGGATTGGTCGGGGTAGCCATGAGTCCCCAAGGCGGCTAGAGGGGACAGGGGGCAGTTTGTCTCTGGATGGACAGTCGCCTGGTGTACAAGGCAGGGGGCGTCTCTGAGGCCGGGCCTCTGCTCCAACAGAATATGGCCGGTCTGGAGGAGGTGGTGGGGGAAGATCTCGAAGTGTGGGAGGTATTGGCAATGGTTTGTCCTTGTGAAGGGAGCCAGAAACAGCCTGTGGAAGCAAAACAGAAGCAAATCAATCAAAACCCACTAATGCACAATAAAGAATCAGAAAACTATAGAAATGGATAATGCTTTACCTTAGAAGCAGTTCCCAGACCAGAAGTACTTGAAGGAACAGATACTCGCTGTTGCAAAAGGTCAAGTCGTGGTGGCACTGGGGGAAGGGAAGCTTGTGGAGCCATAGAGAATGGAGAAGGAGGACGTTCCACCTAGAACCATTGAAATTTAACAGTTTAGTCTTCTGCAGGGAACCAAGATGGTAAATATTATGTGACTATGTAATATAATAACCAATGGGGCAGACTTAAGCTTAGGATCACACAAACCTCTCTTCACAACTCAGAAACTTCCTGAGATTCTAACATGTCCATAACTACTTTTTGTATCACAAGAGGGCACTCTCAATCACAGAAATACCATGCAGATGGCAAAACTACAAGCAAATCCATCTAGAAAGACAGTGTTACAGAAACCTTCCTAGCTTATTATTAATTAAAAAAAAACTACAATTTTCTATCTCTTAATCCTTGGAGATTAAAACTGGAACCCATATAAAAAGAAAAGGATAGGGCTAGGGGTAGAGTACTCAGAGGGAAAGTGTTTGTCTAGCATGTGTGAGGCCCTGGGAACAGGGATACCATATGTATCAGTATACTGTACTATACTATCTACTATATACAGCAGACTACTAGAATTTACATCATAGACAGTCTTACTGAGGGGATTCCTGAAAGCATGGTATGCCTTGGTAGTGACAGGTACAAACTGAAAAGTAGGGGAATAAAAATGAATTATTCCAGGAAAAGCAGAAGGTTGTATAAGAAAGCAAAAGTAATTACAGTATAGCATACTAACTGGCACAATAGGGAGCAAAATCATTTAGACACTGAATACTGATTTAGGCAAAACCCTTCAAATAACCTATTCAAACAACTAGAGTTAAGTGGTTATGGAGTAGAAAGGAGGGACATAATGAGAGATATTATGTCCTTCTCCTCTGTTCATCTGGGGTGAACAGATAATAATCAAGAGAAAGTAATACAAGTATATGGTTCAGAAATGGGGAGACAGGAGTTGGGTACAGTGGTGTGTTGCCTGTAATTCCAGTGACTGAGGAGGTTGAGTCAGGAGGATCTAAATTTCGACGTCAGTCTCGGCAATTTAGTGAGACCCTCAGCAACTCAGCAAGATCATGTCTCAAAAATAAAAAAGGGCTGGGGATGTAACTCAGTGGTAGAGATAACCCAGTTCCACCACACATATACACACACACACCACAAATTATAACAAACTACCATCAGGATGCGGAGAAACAGGCACTTTCATATTTTCATACATCTTTAGGAATGACTTTGGGACAAACAAATTGGGATAAATTTTAAAAATCTACCCCAAAAGTTAATTACTTTCACTCAAAGATTTTATTCATAAAGTCTACAATGAATCACAAGGTACAAAAAATAAAAATACCCATGTAACTACCATTCAGTTGAGAAATAAAATACCACTGATTTTATGAAATACCCAGGTGCCCCTCCCCTGAGTACATCCCTCTCCTCTATCATAGAGTTTAAATATACATACCTGTTGTTTTGTTTTTTTTTGTGGGAGATGGGAGGTCTTGGAGACTGAACCCAGGAGTATTCTAGTTCTGAGCTATATCCCCAGTCCTTCTTTTTTTGTTTTATTTTGGAGAGAGCAAAGCTGCCCAGGCTAGCCCTCAAACTTGTGATCCTTCTGCCTCAGGAGCAGCTGAGATTACAAGTGTGTACCAGTGTACCCTGCTCTACACCTTCTTTTATCCAGCAGTTCCACTTTTAGAAATTTACCCTACAGACAGATTGCAAAATATGCCAGTATGTAGGAGCCTAGAATCAACATGTCCCTTAAGAAGAGACTGAATTATGGAATAGTCAAATGACAATCCATACATGAGGCTGTTTCTTCTCTATTTGAATTTCTACACAGCTAGGGGGAAAATGTTCATTTCTTTTTTCTTCAACAAAAAGGTTATTTACTTAAAGATTATATACGTAACAATTCTGAATAAAGTTCACTGTCTCCCTTGTGTTGAACAGTGTTTCACCTGCCTCTATATTCTATTCCCAAATAAAGTCTTCTACTCTTTAAGAGCCTTGTTCTAGCTTTCTGGTCCTATTCAGCACTTTACAGTAAATTACTTACACATTGCAAAACTAACATTTGCTAATTGTAAAAAATTGCAAATACTGTATTCCACAAAATTATACTACTCAGAACTTCTATCCTCAGAAATAATAGTAATTTGGTGTGTAGTCATCCAATTTTTTCCCTATGTTTATGTTACAGTTTAGATATTAAATGTCCCTAAAGAGCTCTTGTGTGAGACAACGCAAGAAATCATAGAGGTAAATGTTTGGGTTATGAGAGTTTTAACCTAATCAATGCTCCTGAGGGGGATTAAATGGGCGTTAATTATAGGCAGGTAAAGTGTGGTTGGAGGAGGCAGGTCATTGGAGGCATTCCTTTGGGGCATATATTTTATCCGTGAAGAGTGGAGCATCTCCCCCCACTCACTCCCCGCTTCCTGGTGTGATGTCTTGAGATGCTTTCCTCTACTACACTCTCCCACCATGATGTTCTGCCCTGCCTGCGCCTCTCCCTCCCTTTCTCTCTGTTTCTTTTTTTTTTTTTTTTTTTGTGGTGCTGAGGATTGAACCCAGGGCCTTGTGCATGCAAGGCAAGCACTCTACCAACTGAGCTATATCCCCAGCCCTCTCTCTGTTTCTTGGTAAGATGTCTTGAGCCACTTTTCCTCCACCACATTCTTTTTTTTTTTTTTTTTTTTAAAGAGAGAGGGAGAGAGAGAGAATTTTTTAATAATTATTTTTTAAGTTTTTGGCAGACACAACATCTTTGTATGTGGTACTGAGGATCGAACCCGGGCCGCACGCATGCCAGGCAAGTGCGCTACCGCTTGAGCCACATCCCCAGCCCCTTCCACCACATTCTTCCACCATGATGTTCTGCCCTGCCTTGGGCCCTGAGGAATTGAAGTCAGCCATCTATGGACTAACACCTCTGAAACCATGAGCCCCAAAATAAACTTCTCCTCCTCTAATTGTGTTCTTTCCAGGTCTTTCAGTCACAATAAAAAAGCTGACTAAAACAGTATATTAAAAAGAATTTATAAGTAAAAATTTCCAGAGAAATGAGATCATATTATACCTAGTACATATAGTTGCCCTCCTCTCTTCTTCTTCTTCGTCTTTTTTTTTTTTAAAGGTTTATTTAGCTGTGCCGGGGATGGAACTCAAGGCTTTTCACATTCTAGGCAAGTGCTAACACTGAGCTACATCACAAGTCTATAGGTGCTTTTAAAACTTAATGCACATTAAACAGCTTTCCACTTGAGTAAATGGAACTCATTCTTCAGAGCATTGCATTATATGGTGGGCAGAACAATGATTCCCCTAATCCCCACAACCTGTGAATATATGACCTTAACTTGACAAAAGAAATTTCCTTGATTAAGGATTTGAATGTCAACATGGGAGAAATATCTTAAGTTATCTAGGTGGGCCCAAGCTAAGCCCACAAATCATTATTAAAAGGAGTCCTCAAAAAGGTCTGAAAAAGGGATAAAAGGGTCCCAAAGCCAAGGAATGTGGCTAGACCCTAGAATGTGGCAATGGTTTTCATTAGCTGAAAACCACCAAAGAACATGGGCTCTTAATCTCATAACTGCAAGAAATTAAACTCAGGCTAAATTGTTGAGGCTGGCCTTGAATTTAGAATCCTCCTGCCTCAGCTTCCTGAGTCACTGGGATTACAGGCATATACTACCATACCCAGCTCAAGTCAAACATTAAATTTTAATAGATATTAAACTGTCAATCAAAAAGATGGAACTAGGGGCTGGGGTTGTGGCTCAGTGGTAGAATGCTTGCCTAGCATGCGTGATGCGCTGGAGTCAATTCTCAGCACCACATACAAATAAATAAAATAAAGGTCCATCAACAATTAAAAAAAATATTAAAAAAAAAAAGAGATGGAAGTAACTGTACCCATCTCAATAATAAATGGGAAGGTCTGTTTCTCCACAATGAGTGTTGTTACCTGTCTATAATAATTCCATGAAGAAAAAAGGGCATTTTTAATTTCAAATAATACATAAATATACCTCTTTATTTTTTTTTGTGGTATCAGGGATTGAACCCAGGGGTGCTTAACCACCGAGCCAAATCCCTAGCCCACTATTTATTTATTTATAGTATTTTTTATTTACATGACAGCAGAATGCATTACAATTCATATTACACATATAGAGCACAATTTTTCATATCTCTGGTTGTGTACACAGTATATTCATACCAATTTGTGTTTTCATATCTGTACTTTGGATAATAATGATCATCACATTCCACCATCATTAATAAACCCATGCCCCCTCTCTTCCCTATCTAGAGTTCATCTATTCCTCCCATGTTCCCACTTCCTATCCCACTATGAATCAGTCTCCTTATATTAAAAAAAAAAAAAAAATTCAGCATTTTTTTTGGGATTGGCTAACTTCACTTAGCATTATCTTCTCTAACTCCATCCATTTACCTGCAAATGCCATGATTTTATTCTCTTTTATTGCTGAGTAATATTCCACTGTGTATATATGCCACATTTAAAAAAAAAAATTCATTCATCTACTGAAGGGCTTCTAGGTTGGTTCCACAGTTTAGCTATTGTGAATTGTGCTGCTATAAACATTGATGTGGCTGTGGTCCCTGTAGTATGCTGTTTTTAAGTCCTTTGGGTATAGACTGAGGAGAGGGATAGCTGGGTCAAATGGTGGTTCCATTCCTAATTTTCCAAGAAATTTCCATATTGGCTGCACCAATTTGCAGTCCCTCCAGCAGTGTATGAGTGTGCCTTTTCCCCTACATCCTTGCCAATACTTATTATTGTTTGAATGCATAATAGCTGCCATTCTGACTGTAGTGAGATGAAATCTTACAGTGTTTTTGATTTGCATTTCTCTAATTCCTAGTCATCACATTTTTTCATGTTATTTGTTGATTGATTGTACATCATCTTCTGAGAAGTGTCTCTTCAGGTCCTTGGCCCATTTATTGACTGGGTTATTTGTTTTTTTTTTTTTTTTTTTGGTGTTTAGCTTTTTGAGTTCTTTATATACCCTAGAGACTAGTGCTCTATTGATGTGTGAGGGGTAAAGATTTGCTCCCAAGATGTAGGCGCTCTATTTACCTCACAGATTTGTTTCTTTTGCTGAGAAGAAACTTTTTAGTTTGAGTCCACTCCATTTATTGATTCAGCCCATTTTATTTTTGATTTTGAAACAGGGTCTTGCTAAATTGCTGAGGCTAGATTTGAACTTGCAATCCTCCTGCCTTAGCCTCCTGAGCCCCAGGGATTACAGGCATGTGCCACCTTCCCTGTCTGCCAGTAAACTTTTAATGAATAAACAGGTAGTATTCTATGAAAAAATGCATGAGGGGTCAAGGAATCTCTTTAAATCTTGACAAAGTCTTGTGATGGACCAAGGCTACTGTCACCTTCAAAATACCAAGAATATATCACTCGAAAGCCCAGATTTCCCATTACTCACTGTTGATCTACTATTGATAAATTCATCCAATTCTGCTTGATGTAATATCAATTATAGTCAAACACTGAAAGTAATTAATATTTGTTCAACTCTTTAGTAGCTAATTAAAAATAAGATACCATGCCAGGCATGGTGGCATACACCTGAAACCCAGTGACCTAGGAGGCTTAAGCTAGAGGATCCCAAGCTGGAGGTCACCTTGACAACTTTAGTGAAACCAGGTCTCATAATATAAAATAAAAAGGGCTGGAGAGATGGCTCCACGGCAGAGGGCCTTTAGATTCAATCTCCAGGACCACAAAAAAAAAAAAAATAAAAACAAACAAAAAACGATGGCTCTTCACTTCTGAGATTTTACAATGCAAAATACTTTAAATTACACAGAAATTGCCAAGATAAAGCAGAGAGAAATTCTAATGGGTTAGCCTTGCTGGACCACAAAGAATAAAGAGGAAAGAAATTATCAAGGTCAGGTACCTAGAAAGGAGAACACACTTCACTCATTAAGAAATGAGAAGTCGGGCTGGGTTTGTGGCTCAATAGTAGAGTGCTCACCTAGCATGTGGGAGGCTCTGGGTTCGATCCTCAGCACCACATAAAAATAAATAAATAAAGGTGTTGTTAAGAAATGAGAAGACATCAAACAGTGTGAAGTCAAGGGATGAGGTGATCAGATCTGTGTTGTAGATCAATGATTTCGTATCAGGAAGGATAGAAGATGGTGAGAAACTGAAATAAGGGGAGATAAAATTCACTCTTCCAGGATGTTTATCAAGCACCTATTTTGCATCAGGTAGTCATGTGCTGATATAAAAGAAAGCTTTTTGTATCACAGAAATGTATCCCATGAGTACATAGCATTCTAAAGTATAGACTCTACAGCATATCATTAACCCATTGTTTTATTTACTAAAGAATTTTTATTTACTAAAGAAAATTTTACTTACTAAAATCTTCAAGAACTGTCTTACTTCTAAGATTTAATGAGTAAACCCCTGTTGTACCCTACCTGTCTGAGGAAATAGCATTTGATCACATCCTTTCTTTACCTTCATTTTTTTTTTTTTTTTAAATCTTTACTAGAGCCTTTCCAGTTTGTTTAGCTTCTACAGGGCACAAGGTATAGCACTTCCTACCAACCATCTGATTACTGTCTCATTTTATTTCTTATCCAACTTAACTGACTTTCAAATGACAAGATTCCTTCATAGAAGGAAAAAACAAAAACAAAATCATGTACTAGTCACAGTAGCATATAAAATAGGGTTTAGTTCTTTATTTCCTTCCCCATTTCTCCACCAAGATATATGTGTTAAAACCCAGTCCCTCAGATACATATAGTAAGAATATGGGCCTTAAAGCTAGTCTGGCAGCTCCTAACTAGCTGTGTGATCCTTCGCAAATTCCTCTCTCTCTCTATGGCTCAAATGGTTCATTGTTAAATGAGGATAACAATAGTCTCAGAGGGTTGTTGTAAAGATTATGAGTTAAAATAAGTAAAATGCTTAACACTGTATCTTATAGCAAGAGCTCAATAAATATCAGCTATTAGTGCCCTTTTGTAGTTTGGATGTCATAAAGTGCTCCTTGGCTGTAGAAAATAGTTCATAATGATACTTGCTAGTCTTTGAAATTGTAGTCTTACCTTGGCACCTGCCAATTCCTTCATCATGAACAGAGAATCATCAGCTCGTTCATCATCATCATCATCATAATTTGGGGAGGGAGCTCCTTCTGCTCCTTGCCTCAATAGGCTGCCACTTCCTCTAGGATCAAACGGATCTACCACAATGGGCTCAGTACCTTTGATTTCACATCGGCAGAATGGACAGCCCTGACCTTCTGATTCCTACAGAGAAAGCAAAAGTTAGTAATGAATGCATCTAAAAGTATTTAATACATTTTTCTACTAGTAAATTTATTTCCTAGACATAAAGATGAAATCAAATGGTTCAGTGTATAGATCAGTGAAAGTACACATGCTTAGCATTTGCAAAGCCCTGAGTTTAATCTTCAGTACAGGAAGAAGGAGGAAGAAAGGAAGGAAGAGTAGATGGATGGATGGATTTAAAATTTAGGCCTAGCCCACAAAGTAAGCCCACCCTTTGTATCTATAAAGGATATATAAAACCCAATTCTTCAGAGTAATTACAAAGCAGAGAAAATGCATGGTTTGGATCTATACCTGCCACGACGTAAGACATGATGTGCACATGAGGTGTCCACAGGGCTCAATCTTTACATCTTTATCATTTTCAGCACATATTTTACACAGTTGGAATGTAGAGCCCATCTCACAGTATAATTCATATTGTTCCTTTGATTAAAAAAATAAAGAGATTATTTGTTGACTGAATGACAGTAACTATAAACATAAACAAAAAAAGTAAAGACTTATTTATATCACAAACATCTAATCTTGGGTCCCATTTAAAGCTGCACAATTTAAAGAAGAAACCACTCACACATAAATTCATTAATCCAGTTAATGTTTTAAAATTAAAACATTCCAATAACTTATATTTTCTGTAAACGGTATCCAAAAGCTTGGCTCCAGTGATATGGTTATAATACAAAGCATAATTCACCTGGGTCACTTTGATATGATCTTGGGGAGTTGGTTCACATAAGCCCGTCAGGTCGGGATTCTGATTTCGTCCATCAGGAAACAAATAGCTGCAAAAAGAGTAACCAGCCTTGTGGTTTTACTGAAGTCAATTGTCAGTGCTGGTTAATATACACAAATGATATCAAACATACTTTAAAAAAAAAGAACTATCTTGGCTTGCAGACTATACCAAAATAGTTGGTCCATATAGGCCATAGTTTTCCAATCCCTATTTTAATCAATGGGTAGCCTAAAGATATAAATTTTTTAAAAAAAAGACCTCAAGTATTTCTATGTACAGGTTGAACAAATGGAGACATGTATTTAAAAGGAATGTAACAAGAAACAAATTAAGACACTTAAGATCATCAACCAGGGAGCTTCTAGAATCAAACTGCTCTGAAATTTGGGGCTACTCAATCCAACTATAGAAGGCAATACATGGTCAAGAATTAGTATTTTTAGGGCTGGGGTTGTGGCTCAGTGGTAGAGAGCTTGCCTAGCATGTGTGAGGCACTGGGTTCGATTCTCAGCACCACATATAAAATAAATAAAATAAAGGTACTATGTCCATCTACAACTAAAATATATTTAAAAAAAAAAGAATTAGTATTTTTAAAACTTACTGATAAGTACTTTGATTCCAAAGGAATAGCAATTCTGGAACAAGAACTTACTAGCAAAAGTCAAAGCCTGAAGAAAAGCTGCTGAGTCAAAATGAAATTAAGATGAAGACAGATATAGGCCACTGAAGCCTGCCTACTCTCATTGGGAACATCTAGTCACTTTAATTTTGGCTGTCAAGTAACTGATAAAATTTCCTGCTAATTTTGTATTTTCAAATCTAGTGCAGATTTGCAGGTAAGCTAATATTTGGAAAAGGAGAAAGACAAATAATAACTGAAGCAACAGAGAAAGACAATTTCACTTATGGAATCCCTATCAAATAAAAAACAAAAGTCTACAGAATTTGAAGGACAAATCAACATAACTTGCTAATGTTTCCTGAATCTTAATATGTCATTTATGATAAAAATTACAGTCCCTAAGTTCCTAGACTCTAGGAGATATTAATCAGTGAGTACTCACAAGCCTTCCCTGAAGCCATCAATCAGTGCTTGGAAGAGAGGTTTATTGTGAGGGATTGTCTGGAGAATATTCCCATCAGCAGTAACATACCCAATAGCCCACTGACCCAGACGAGTACAGCTTAACCGGAAGATGTAACTGAGGAGAGAGATTAATAGAAGTTTTAACATATACTCTGGTATTATGGTGGAATGCAAGTTAGAGACAAAATTCAAGAAGACCATCAAGAATAACTTTTCAGTAGGGAAAGTTGGTGCATGCCTATAATCCCAGCTATTTAGGAGGCTGAGGCAGGACTACAGGTGTGAGGTCAGCCTCTACCACTGTCTCAAAATAAAAAATAAAATAAGGGCTGGGAATGTAGCTTAGTGGTACAGCATCCCTATGTTGAAAAACCAGTACTAGGGTAGGGAGAGACAACTCTCTAAGCCTGGTGCCGTGACACATGCCTATAATCCCAGCTACTTGGGAGGCTGAGACAGGAGGATCACACATTTGAGGTCAGCCTGGGTAACTTAGTGAGACCCTGTCTCAAAATATGAAAAAAGGGCTGGGGATGTAGCTCAGTGGTAAAGAGTCAAACCTCCCCCACTCCATCTCTGCCCCAAACCCAGTACTGCCAAAAAGGGGGTGGGGGGAGTCTGTATATGTTCAGGGGGCTGGAGATATATTTCAGTGGGAAGGTATGTGCATACTTGAGGATTTGAGTTCAATACTTAGCTCCAAATAACATTTATAGAAAACAAATAGCAATAACTCCAGACCAGAAAAAAGGCCATCTCAACCCCCATTTTTTTTGTCTTTTGGTATTAGGGATGGAAACAGGATACTTTACCATTGGGCTATATCCTTAGTCCTTTCCATTTTTTAGTTTGAGACAGGATCTCACTATATAGCTGAGCTTATGGTGGTGCCCCTGGCCCTACACCCCATTCTTGAATGGCTTGAAAACACTGATCAAATCATAGGATGTAAGCAAGCCAATTCCAGCAGAATGAATCCTAATGCAGAATCTTGGCCACTGGTGAACTAAAACAAGATCAAGTTTCTTCTATTCTAGAAGTCATAAGAGAAAAATTTGAGAATAAACCTCTTTGCTTCATGACACTGACCTGCCAGGTTTGTGAATGAATTTCTGGAGCCGAGCTTTCACTTCATCATATGTCAGGAAAGCCATGTAACCAGGATGAGTTACAGCAAGACTGTTCCAATTTCTGAGCAAGGAGGACCAGGGCTAAAGAAACAAGAGATTAATCACAGACTATTCAGACACACAACTATTCTCAGAATATAGAACAACAACTTCAATTCTCAATTATAAATTTTTAATTCAAGGTCACAAAGTCTCAATTATGTTGTCAATTTTGAAGAAGACAAATGTTTGGGACACTAAAACCTTGAAATGCTAAGAAGAATATATGCTTATAGGGAGAAATTTAACTATACAAAATGAAACTTAAGAAATTGTAAAGCAATTCTAACTACCAGTAGTGAGGTTAACCAAGAAACAAAAGTCAGGAAAATAGAATAGGGCCTTCATGTGCAATCAGTAAGTGCCAAATAAATACTTATGCAAGTTGACATACACGCACCGGAGAAAACATTATTTTAGGAGAAAGATATGAGTTCTTTCTGAAACATTGATATTAAAAGTAAAGAATTTGGAAACAATAGAAGAAAAGTTGGAAATATAACACAAATGCCCAGTAACAGAGTACTAAACAAATACATCCATGTTCTGGGACTTCTATAACCATTAAAGTAATACAAAAGAATATTCAATAAGAAAGATCTGAGGGAATAAAGTAGGTTGTATAGTAATTAATGTGTGTGTGTGTATGATACATGGTGGTTTTAATTTATTTGCTTATAGTTTCTTTTCTTTCTTTTTTTTTTTTTAAAGAGAGAGAGAATTTTTTTAATGTTTATTTTTTAGTTTTCGGCGGACACGACATCTTTGTTTGTATGTGGTGCTGAGGATCGAACCTGGGCCGCACGCATGCCAGGCCAGTGCGCTACCGCTTGAGCCACATCCCCAGCCCCTGCTTATAGTTTCTAAATGCATTAAAACACTTTAATAGACAAAGCCCCAAATTTTATTTTTTATTTTAAAAAAGGTTTATCTTCAGAAAAGAAGAAACAGCAAGATTAGTGTATGTTTTAGTATCCTACCTGAAAGAGTCGTGTAAAGATGTCAAATTCAAAAACTGAAATATAATCATTGCAGGTGAGATCAATAGTGGATTTCAGAGCCATGGCCTCCAGCCCAGAACTGATGGGATGCACTTCATGTAGGGCCTGTCGGAAGCTCTTCCAAGGGACTATTGTCCTGTGGTGGGGGTGGGGTGAAAGCGAAAGCATTTTGAGATAACAGAGATAATTCTAGATACTGCTATAATCAAGGAAAATAAAAGCCCCATTAAGCTCTCAGTATCAATTCTTTGAGTTATATTTTAGATTGAGAGTAGAACAGGAAAAAGGAATATTTAACTCTCTAATGAGTAAATTAGTAACAAGTTTTTTTCCACTATTCTTTTACAGAATGGCACAAATTAATTCCTTTTTCTCATCGTTCTTGGTACATCTACTCTATTAGAGAAACAAAAGAAGAAAAAAGAGATTATCCTTTTAATATAATAAATGTAATTACTGGCCAGACCTTTACTATTTAGAAGCTTGTATTTAAACTACCTTCTTTTTTTTTTCCTTTTTTGGTAATGGAGATTGAACTCAGGGATGTTTTACCACTGAGTGATATCCCCAGCTCTCTTTTTTAGTTTGAGACAGGAGCTCATTAAGTTACCAAGGGCCTTGTTAAACTGCAGGGGCTGGCCTTGAACTTGCAATCCTCCTGCCTCAGTCTCATGGAGTTGCTGGCATTATAGGTCTGTGCCAATGTGTCTGGCTAAACTAACTTTTTAAAAACATGTAAAACATTCTATATTCTCTAAGGAATCCACATTATCAAGGTATATAGGAGGAAATAGGCTTATGGTACTGAAAGAACAGAATTCTGACAGAGATGAAGAAATTATTTAAACTAAGAGTGATTAAACCCCAGATAAGACTAACAAGAGATATTATGAATTTCTGTTCTTAAGATCTTTAAATAAATACAGTCTTATTGCTTTTGCAAAGTTTATATATTCACCTGTCTGAAAATAAGAGACCAAAAAACATCTTAAAGTCTTTTTTCAATGCAGTTACTGAGTTAAAGGAATAAATCAACATTTCTACCCATCTTCTTCAACTAGGCTTTTTATGGGGCAGCAGGCGGAATACTGGGGATTGAACACCGTATGTCACACATACATGTACCCTACCACTTAGCTACACCTTTAACCCCCCAACTAGGCCTTTAAAATTATGAACTAGTCTATATTTTATGTATAAAATAATTTCTATTTTTATTTTTACCAGTGCTAAGAATCAAACCCAGGACCTCACATAAACTAGGCAAGCACTCTACCACTCAGCTATACTCCCAGCCCTAGAACTCTGACATACTACTTATAGAAACATAAACTGGTATCTTGGTTGAAGAAACTTAGATAATGCTTATTGAAGCATTGTTTACAAGAGCAAATAATTTGAAATGTAAATGTCACTAATAGCAGAACTGATCAATCATAAAGCATAGGTTTCAAGTGAAAGTTTTGTTTCTTTAAAAAAAAAATGATTAGGGCAAATAATAGTGATCAAAAGTAGGAAGTAAGTATACATATTTGTTTTTTTCAAAGTTCTTTCACATATTAAATATTTCATTAGTAAAACAGTAAACAAAAACTTCATAAGTTTCAGTTTTTCATAATTCATATTTACTATTTTGAGACTTACTTTTCCCCAAAAGCTTTTCTCCAGAATTCTGCAGCATCTGCTTTAGTAATCCGAAATGTATCTCCTTGAAAAAGTCCACTTGGAAAGATGCCTTTTAGTTCTGCCAGCATGTGGCTGAAGATCAGGGACAGTTTGGTTAGGTTTCGCCTATAAATGATCAGAAGTAAAATAATTAAACTCATAAATTATTTTTATTTTAAATGCACTGAATTAATTATAGAAGAGATCTAATTAACATGAACATTAAAATAAAAAAGGGCTGGGGGTGTAACTTAGTGATGAAACACTTCCCTAGCACATATAAGGTCCTGGATTTGATCTCCAGCACTACAAAAAACAAATAAATAAATAAAATAAAATTTAAAAGAAACTTTTCAAATATACTTTCTGATCAATATTATTCAAAGATACACAAAACTATAGAAGAAAGGATGGAATGTGCTACTGGTAATCTTAAATATTCTGTTATATCCTTATTGAACAAAGGGCTTCAATGTTTTTGCTTTAACATCAGTGAAAGATGCATGCCAGGCGAGCGCGCTACCGCTTGAGCCACATCCCCAGCCCCCAGTTTTGAATCTTAAACTAATGAGACCTAATAACTAAATTATAAACTAACGTGAGTAAATTTGCTTTTTAATTTGACAGACAAGAACTTGTGCACAGCTCTAACCATTCAACCACAGAAGAAAGGAAATGTTAAAAAAGCAAAATGTATTATTTCCTGCTTTATATGAGATATTTTGAATTTCTAAAAAACATATTCATAACTCACCCAAATTGAAGATAAATTTAAAAATCTTGATCTAAAGAAATATTAAATGTCCAGACCTGACAAATGTTTCCATTAAGTCAGATTCTGAAGAGATAAACCACTCCTCTTCCTTTATGAAAAATGAAATGCTAATATCCAAACCACACGAAAATTCCTACATAAATGCATATGCTACCAGTGTTGTAAACAATTACAATTGGTCAACTTTGTTCTAATAACCCCTATTTAATGGATATAATTACAATTGCTGCAAAGATGCTGCAATTTAACAGATAATGTTTTTACTTTCAGATGTATACTATGATCAGTTTATCTTTTATTCTGGGCTTTTTTTTTTTTTTTTTTTGAGGGTGGGTAGGGAGTTTGGTATCAGGGATTGAAGCCAGGGGTGCTTAACCACTGAGTCATATCCCCAGCCCTTTTATATCTTTTATTAGAGACAAGGTCTTGCTGAGTTGCTTAGAGCCTCACTAAGTTGCTGAGGCTGGGTTTGAACTCGTGATCCTCCTGCCTCAGTCTCTTGAGTGGCTGAGATTATAGGCATGGTGGTGCATGCTATCTTTAATGCTGCTATCATTCAGAATCAGACACAGAGGCTTTGGGTACTCTTACACAGCAAACCAGCTATCCATTATTCTTGCTTATTTTCCCTGGTCCCAGCAATTTGTATTTATGTATCCAAAACCTTATTCTTATCACACAGGTGGACTTACTATAAAATTTCAAGTTATGATCAGTTATTGATGGCCTAAAAATCCTCTTTAATAATAACAGATTTTTTTTTTTTAATGTTATACTGGAGGGTCACCATCAGTGCTACCTTTGAGTCTTTCCAGGATAAAATGCAGCAAAAAATTAACTAACCCTAATTCCTTTGCAAACTGTTGCTAAAATTTTTCTAGTCAGTTTTTCAACAAATCACCTTCTTTGTCTTTTTCTCACTTGTAGCAAGCTATCCCCCCCCCCCTTTTTTGGTACTGGGGATTGAAATCAGTACAACTTTCCCAATAAGCCACATCCCAGCCCTTTTTTATTTTGAGACAGGGTCTCACTAAGTTATTCAGGGTTTCCCTAAGTTGCCGGGGCTGGCCTCGAACTTGTGATTCTCCTGTTTCAGTTCCTTTTTTTTTTTAATGTTAATTAATTTATTTTGTATAAACAGGTCAAATTAATGTTAATCAATTAATATATTTTATATAAACCAAATATACCCAAACAATAATTTAAACATGTAATCAATATTAAAACATTAATGAGATATTTTTCATTCTTTTTTCATACCGTCTTTGACATCCTGTATAGCTGTTTCAGTTCCTTGATTACAGGTCTGTGACACTGTGCTCAGTAGGCTATTCCCTTTCTAGGTTCCTATTTTATTTCCAAAGGCACCCACCAAGCTGGTAAAAGTAATATTTTAGAAGATTTTCTAAAATAATTCAAGTGTAAGATCAAAATACATGCATATATCCAATCCCTAGAACCCTTTAACTTTTTCCTCCTTACAGCTCAAGCTCTTTTGAGTACTGTTAGAATTTCTATCATTTACCAAAGAGAAAACAAAAATAGACAAGATCAAGACTACATCATAGAGCTGGAGGTGTAGCTTGCCTATCGTGTGTGAAGCCCAGGTTCTATACTTAGCATGGCTAAAAAAAAAAAAAAAAAGAAAGAAAGAAAGAATACATCACAAATGGTATATGAAGCAGATAACTCGGTAGAAAACCTGCAAGCATAAACTACTCCCAGTGAATTTATGTTCAATTCTGCAACAGGACACTAAACTTCATAATCAGGGGCTTGGATTTCAACTATCTACACAACATTCTGCCAAATATTAATCCTTAAAGATAGGTAAGGAGCCATGCTTGTAATCCGTAATCCCAGTGGCTGGGGAGGTGGAGGCTGGCAAGTTCAAAGCCAGCCTCAGCAATTTAAAGGCAAGGAAGCTGGTATGTTTCACATGTCTTTAATCCTAGAGATTGGAAAGCTGAGGGAAGAAGATCCCAAGTTCTAGGCCAGCCTCAGCAACTTAAGTGAGATTCTGTCTCCAAAAAAAAAAAAAAAAAAAAAGCTAGGTATGTAGCTCAGTAGAGCACCTCTAGGTATAATCCCCAGTATGGGGAAGACGGGTGGGAAGAGGGGAAAAAAAATGCACAGAAGCTCATGATTCCTTAAGATGTGTAAAACTGAGAACTATGATGAGTAAAGAATAATGCTAAACGTATAACAAAATAATGTATGAGATGTAGAATACATAGTTGGCCCTCCGTATCTGTGAGCTCCACACACAAGGATTCAACCAACTGAGGACCAAAACATTACAAAGAAAACTCACCTATTCAGTCAGCAGGGCCTTGGAGAGGGACAAACGACCCTGAGTCATAGGTCATATGCACACCGGTTGTGTTTAGTGTCAGACTGCTCGCCAGTGTTTAAGAAATCTAGACACTTAGACTACACCATGAGTTATACTTCAAGAGACACATTTCTTCATATTGCTTCCTGGAATCAATACTTATCTTTTTCTAGTACAAAGTTAAATGCATCAAATTATAAAACATGTTTCCATAATATTTTCTGAGATTCCAGGGCTTTTAATGTCTCCAGGATGTATTTTTCCATTTTCCATAAGACCAAAAAGTAGTATAAACTCGGAGCTTGGGTTGTGGCTCAGTGGTAGAGCTATGCCTAGCATGTGTGAGGCACTGGGTTCGATTCTCAGCACCACATATAAATAAATGAATAAAATAAAGATCCATCAACAACTTAAAAAGGGGACCATGACAAGGAGTGAGCAGGAAGAGGAGTTTATGAATGACCCTAGTGTGACAACAGACTACAAAGACAAGGAAAGAGTTGTAGTCTTTTCAATACATTGTTACCTTGAAGACAGACCTGGATACTGGCAGAAACAGTGCAGAAGACGCATTCTATAAAAGTTGAGTTCAGATTGAATGGAGAAAATAATGAAGAAAAGCAGAATAGTGAAAATAGAAGGTACATTGGCTTTTCCCACTGGAGAGGACAACGAAGCAGAAACAGATGGAGGCAAGGATGCAAATTATCCTGAAGAAAAAAGTATCTGAAGAGAAGACTAAAAGTGATAAATATTGAGTAGTGTTACAACAGAGGAAGAAGTTAAAATTGCCTAAGAAGAGTATGTCTAAATAAATGGACTGCATTTTACCCATGAAGATACTTTCCAGTGGTAGGGAAATGGGGAAAGTAATCAACATTAAAAAAAGCACATTTTTAGTATAATAAAATTATTTTACGGTTTTGGGGGAAAGGAAGAAAAGAAGGAAAGAAAGGTCAGTTGGATGGAAATCATATCTACTGAATATGTACAGGCTTTTCTGGTCATTATTCCCTAAACAATACAGTATAACAACTATTTATGTTACATTTATATTGTTTCAGATATTCTGAATAATCCAGAGATGATCTTTATACAGTACACAGGAAGATGTACACAGGTTATATGCAAATACTAAACCACTTTATATAAGGGACAAGCCCCCTAGATACCAAGGGACAACTGTACATTACACTTTTAGGTTACAGCAGAGCTCTGAAGAAAATAGTTTGAATCTTACTTCTTCATGGAAATAACTTTTCTTGGTTTTGAAAATATTGTCCTCTCTTGCTTTTGTTCTTTTTTAGCTTTTCTCCCTTTCTTTCTTTCTCTCTTTCTTTCTTTCTTTTTTGTTTTAACCCAGGGCCTTGTGCATGCAAGGCAAGCACTCTACCAACTGAGCTATATCCCCAGCTCCCTTTACCCCCATCTTTCTAAGAGGTATTTCCCAAGAATTTGCTCTGTGCTGTTATCCATTATTTCTCCATGCCCTTTCTTTTCTTCCTCTGCAGTATCAAAAGCTACTTTGCAAATAATTCCCAAATCTTGGGCCTTGGTAAATTTTTCCAACTATCTACCATACATACTTCCCCACCAGCATGCCAGCACCACACAACATGCTCAGAATTAAACTAATCTTCCTTCTCAAATCTGCTCTTCCTTCAGGTTTCCTATTCTGTATTTAATGGCAACATGTCTTTCTTCTGACAAATTCAAAATCTCAAGAGCTGCCTTGGCTTCTTGTATTTCCTTTGTACTCTATATCTGATTTATTTGTCAATTTGCTGACAACTGTGTTGTCAATCCTATCTTTGAATTATGCTATTATTCTAATATAAATTCCTTGTTTACCCTTCACCTTCCATAATTTAAATTCCAGTCTCCAGTCTCTTCCTATGTTCTCAAATCTTACCACATGAACTGCCTTTTTTTTTTTTTTAATTTATTTATTTATTTTTCGGTGGACACAACATCTTTGTTTGTATGTGGTGCTAAGGATCGAACCCGGACCGCACG